CATAGAAAAACAAATAGAAGGAGTTGTTAACTGGCTGGTACGGCTAATAGAGCAGCGAGCCGCGTCGTCTCTACACCTCGAACGGCCTACGTCTATGATGTGAGAAACGGTCACAGACAATGTAGAATTGTATATAATTAGGTGATAAAACTAATTACTATAATGAATTATTGGCACATCTTGTACCTGCCTGACTATAGGTTTGATAGATATACATATATACACGATGTTGTGATCTGTTAACCGATTTTTTATATTTAATTTGAGAGTTTAGCCCCAAAATATACTAGCTCCTTCATATCAATAAAATGTAATAAGAATGAAGAGTTGATAACCAAAATTCTGGTTTTGATTTTATATAAGGACAGAAAATTACAAACTTGTGACGTCAGAATCTAGTAAACAACTACGCACGGGAACAGAAAGCGTACCACTCGAACACCGTCACATAAAAAGTAAATTTCTTATAAGTATAATAAAAAATAATAATCTTACGCTGTTTGTTATTGATAATTTTAATTCAGATTAGTTTTAAGTGATAAATAATGCAAATACAATTTTGAGCACTCTTCGTAACCAATCATATTTACTTATTTGTAGCCATTAGTCATTTTGTTGCTCATTTGAGTGGTCGGCCATTTGCATTTCTTTCTATACTGTCGTGCTTATGAATATCCATCGACAATTTAGGTTTAAGATATATTTTCTTTTATTATAAGGACATATTATTAAATAATTAGTGAAACCCTTATGTGATAATCTTGTACTTTTTCATATTTTTATGTTAGTAACTGACTATTCATTTCAAAACTTTTGCATTTTCATAATTAGTTCATTGCAATTATCTGATAGAAAAAGTGGAGTAATAAGTTAAAATTCGTGTTTTACGTACATACAATTGTTAGTCCTCCAGAGTGTAAATTCTCCTAAACAACCAAATTCGATCTAACAATAGTGCTATAAATATATGGCAAGCGGCGAATCCATGTGCCTAAACTAATATTTATATTTAAATGGCAATTGTATTGTATGGAACTATACAAACGTTTGTTATATAAAAAAAAAAAACTTTTTACTTTATTCTATTTATAAAAGATTCAGAACTCTTACGTTTCATTTTGTTATAATGTGCCTTTTTTAAGAGTTCATTTCTGCACCCTTTGTATATTCACTGTATCAAATAACGCATATATAAAGTTGATTGTTACTATAACGAATATTACTGTTTTTAATATCAATATCATACATACTGTTGCTCATGATTAAATGGTTTATCGAAACCAAAATTAGGTTTTCAACATTAATTACAGTATTCGGTGATAAAATGACACATCGATCTTTCAGAAAGTACAATCAGCTAATTTCGGCTTCTTAGTGTAATGTTTGCAGCAAACTTCTTGTTGCCTACACTCGAGTAGTTTATAAACACTGGCAACATTTTTTCTATTTGGATTTTTTTTTGCTGATCAACGAGCTACGCGCGCCTGTAAAGAAATCTGTGCGTGCTAAAAGTTTGTCTTACGATCAAAGAACCAGTGCCTCAATTACACCACAGGACAGAATCCTATGCACTTCTACAGTACCTCTACTGTTGGTTCGACTTTGAAAATAATACTTATGACGATATAATTTAGTATTACTGGTAACGTCACACTAGAGCACAATGGCGGATTCCATCCCCCACTGCAACCACAGCACAACATTTTAAAAGCCAATAATATATAAATTCCATGTAAAATCTTTAAAGTTACTATATATGTCAGATATTCAACGTCTATAGTTTTTTCAGCTAATAGAAGTAATACGGATTTGTTAGTTTCGTATACCAGATAGCGTTCCGCAATAGCCGATTGTCTCTTTCTAAAGGTCGAACGTGCAAAATATATCGCCGGATACTACGTTACTTTTCTATAGATACAAAATTGTTGTTGGATTTATTAGATTACGATGAAGCTAGGATTACACCAAATATATACTTTAATGTACCTGTAATGATTTTGATTTAGTGATTTTTTACTTATTTAACACTGAATATTCACTGACAAATATTTCTGGTAAAAACATGGCCGTAACAACGATTTTTGTAAGGGCGTATAAAAATTTCTTGGAAGCAGTACTTACTATAATGGCTTCTTTAAAGCAATACTTACTATTTAACAAAACACCCTATCCAACTTATTGTGATATACAGGGTTATTTGAACTTCACATAAGTAGAAAGCTAATATAGTTTCATCTATGAGTTGAGCCATAACTAAATACTGTGAACAAAAAATATTTTTCAAATTTTTGTTGTGTTCTTTTGACATTTGTGGGTTTATGTTTTATAATAAACGAAAGGACGTCGCGCTCTGTCGTAATATTTGTGATGCGCGTAGAATTATAAACGCTTGAGCGTATGAGACCTTAATAAGCCTTATGAAAATGGAGGAGCCAGAAGCTACATTTTCAAAATATTAGTTTTTTAAAACCCACAGAAAGATTCCGACTTCATATTATTAAATTTCATCATGTATTTATTATTATTGAAATAATAATATGTATTATTATCCCGTAACTTATATTAAAAAAAATTCTCTTACAATCTCTTAGTTGCGTAACCTCTTTTGGTTTGTGACACTTTTGGTGACTGGCAGAGAATGCCCTGGAATTTTACACTGAGAGAGATGCATGCGGCTTAAAACCCTAGGCTGCCGTCTTTGTCCAAGTAAGATGCAACGAATAATCAAAAGTCATAAAGCAAGTGTTATTATTTATAATATTAGCTATCCACTGTGAGGTTGTTGACGTTTCTTAAATAACCCTGTATAAAATATTAGCTCAGTACTTCAAAACTTACCCTATGACTTGAAGGGGGGAAGGGAGTAAGCGCCTACACTACGCCAGAGGCTAAATTTTACACTTGTTAGAAATATATTTAGCATGATTTCAGCAGTGTTGAACCTTTCTAGACCTATAGATATAATAGTGATGTTTATACAAGTAATAAGAATGTAATTATATCGCGTATTGTTAGTTACCAGTTTCGTATACAAGCCAGCTTTATGATTGAAAACGAATATTCTCCTACCTGTGTTAACTGATAAGATAAATTTACATACATGAATATGCACATTTCGTTCGCAATTATAACAATTTATGAAAGAAAAAAAATATCTGTTCAACTTAAATAAGGAAAGTAAAAAGCTAGTAAAACTGCTGTCTACAGTAACGTCAAAGATAAGAGAGAGAAGTTATTTCAAAAATAAACTACACTTTTCTGAAACGTTTTGATAAGGTCTAAATTTGGTTCAATCAGTTCTAAGTAGTGTCACCATAAACTTGAATGAATCTGATTGTATACGGAACTGTGGGTAAAAGAGTAAAAGGTAGTTTGCGAAGACCATAAGGTCGCAGGTTTGATGTAAGATTGCTTTAATGTTTCCCAATGCCTTTTCGACCTGCAATAAACTTTTCAAAGTAACGTTTGTTTCATTAAACCTTTTCTGATGTCTTTTTTTATATAAACGTATACACTGCACGTTAGGTTACCACACTTTGTTTACAACTATTTGTCAAATTTCTGCAATAGATTTTGACCTCTACACTTAACGTATTAAGGTTTAAAATCGTATGGGGAATCTGACAGTTCTGTAGTTTGACGTGCAGTTGATTGTACAAGTGGATTACAGCAAGTGAACGTTTTTGAACCTTATTAGTATTAAAATAAAAGTGTTTGTGCTACCATTCTTATATCAGTATTCTTTATGAAGAACTATATCATTTTAGAAGAGCTATATTTTAAAGGTAGGTAGACATAGACTCGAATTAATTAATTATACACTTTATTAGAAAAAATATTAGCTATTAATAAATTATTACATTACAATTACCTATCATACTTAACTCATCTGCGAATCATTGAATACCTTGAACTCTAACCGATTTATTATAAAACTAGTACTAAAATTAGTACTTTGTTTTACCATTTCTTCGATTAAAAACAACTATTAGCTGTCTAAAGCAAATTGACAATGACAGAATAGAAAAAGTCAAATTGAGACATGCGCATTTATTTTGGTCGGATAATGGTTTAAACCTGCTATTAAAGTTAGTCCTCGTTTTATAATAAGCCGGTATTTGTACGTAATTTTAAATTAGTTTCCTTATAAGATTATGTTACAATATTTTTGTTACAGGGGAGTAATATTTCATTTAAATATTTTAATAATACCGGTGACCACATGTATTAATATTCATATTCCAGGATATTATAGTTGAAGTGCTCATGTGAATGAATAAGAAACTATTACAACACAATCAATACTCGAGACAATATTGAAAATTTCATATCAATAATTCATTTTAGACTTTCCATTCATTTATTTTACATACTTAACTTTAAAAATACTATTCGATCTATAGAGGTAGTGAAATGGTATTTATAAGACACAGACTATGCCTAATGTTACAATTTCAAAGTTTGTAGAACTTCAAAGGAGAAAAGACAGAACGAATATAAGAGTAAAATAAGTCGTTTAAACTATAGAATAAAACAATTAATCGAAATCACAATAGTTTGCACATCAAACACATTGGTTGGCATTTACAAACTAAAATTGGAATAAATGTTTATTTTTATATATAAAAATGTCCATATTTTTGTATAATCCGCTTAGAACATAATAGTTTTAATTATATCTAACGATGCATTTCATAAAACATCGTACTAAACTTATCACGATAAACGGATATAGACATTTTTATTGATAAAAAAAAATCACAATGAAGATCCAACTCGATTACATGTTTCCTTAAGATATACTAATAGTTCATTTCCTATTACCATTGCAATGTAACCGAATTATTATTTTGACAGACACGTCATATACTTGAGGTAATATAAAAAATCAAACAATGGCCATTTTCACACTTACTATTAGACAGAGATTCAGTTGTCTATTACTACACAACTGTTTATTGTTTTGCATAAAATATGAAAAATGTATAAACAAACCTAAACCGGCGACTGAATTTTACTCTTACTAATAGTAAGTTAAGAAATTTGTTACACTAAATGCAGACCGCAAACCCTGTGATCAAATTACACCGGATGGCTAGATAGTTTTAATAATTATTAATGAGCATATTTTGCTGTCTACTAAAAAAAGAAAAATAATTCAACGTCATCTATCAATAAGCAGAATTAATGTAGCGTTAACATAAAATAGATTTATTCGACACGAAAATAAAAAGGACAGTTTGCAAATTATTTGTTATTAAAGTAGTTCTTGATCTTTGAGATAGACTAAACAAAATTTTGTTAGAAGCAAATGTTACTAGAATTAAGTACCAATTGTTGTACATACACATCTGGTTCAGACAAAATAACAATTTACCGCACTCAAAACTGAACTTTCTCTTCAATAGACAAGGGTAAAAATCGATTGTAATTTTGTATATGACAACATTTTGTTTATTGTTTTAATAATTATAAGAAATTTTAAAGTTTTTAATATCATTATTTAACAATTTACCGCGAAGGCCAAATTCAATTGGTGTTAAAACGGAAAGCATTCAGTGTGAACAAACCAAATAGAGCTTACCTGAAACTATCAGCCTTGTACTGATCATAGATATCGTTGAACATATCACGGCAGTTCATTTTGATCTTCATTTTGGAACAGAGCAGGAAGACGCCGGAGAGTTTCCTATGCAGCGAGTATATTTCCTCGGGCGGGGGGCAAAGTCTGTGCGTTAATATTGTGGGCACTAAAGCTTGTATGCGACGTGTCGTTTTCTGTGTGCCGAAGTCGAACTCGCCGTCACCACTGCTCGTGAATACTTCGCCCATTATCATGACTGTGTCCACGTGGGTCTCTTCCATGATCTAAAATTAACGAACTCTCTTAGATTTCTATTCATTCTCCCAATGTTGAAACAGCTGCTAACGGGTCATATGTCATCATCACATCACCAGCCCTTTTTACGTCCCCACTGCAGGGGCTCAGGCCTTCCCTATGGATGATTAAGGAGGATGGGCCATGACCCTCCACGCTGGCCCAATGCAGCCGGGACCAGCTCGAGATAATAATGTTTTGGTCACCCATCCCGTGACCGACCCTAGCGAAAGTTGCTTAACGACTACGATCGCGGGCCGCTGCGCTTATCCACTACGCCACTGAGCTACTCATATGTATTACGACCAAATGAGGTTATTGACCCTTTAAATTTTTAACGGTAAACATTCGCTTTTAGTATATATTTATTTTACAGATGAATTTAGTATACAGATTTATACAGAAGAAGGGTTCGTGTAACACACTTTTAAAATAAGTATGTAGTGTACAATTTCAATAACCTTAAATATGTTACGAAAGTATATGTATCAATGTTAAAATTTTATTTTTAACGAAATGAAAATATTGGTGAATAAATATTGAAATGTCATTGCAAAAACGATATATCACAGCCTTTCTAAACGATTTGTTCAGAAATGTGACTGGCGATCATATATTATATAATACGATAAATAACGGCGAAAGCATGGGTTAAAAAATAGATTTAAATAATAAAATAGTTCATTATATTTATAGTATTTCCTCTTATATTGATAATTAAAAATAGAATTAACACTTGTTATTCTGTGGGTAGGTATTCTAATACTCTACTATCATTATATCATAATCGGCCAGAGTAAAATTAATAATAATAATAATAATAATAATAATTCTTTATTGAGTAACTACATAGCGTAACAAATCAATTTGCCCTGTCTCCCAAATTAGGTTGCCCTGTATGTCAGGAGTCAGTGCTCTCTTAAGTATTACATTTTGGCTTATGCAGACTAAGAAATGAAATACCAAAGGAACAAGAGAGATAAAATAAATAAATAAGACTTTTAACATTTACAAATTATTCTATTAGGTTAACCATGCTAGAACCAGGTGTGTGTGTGTGTGTGTGTGTGTGTGTGTGTGTGTGTGTGTGTGTGTGTGTGTGTGTGTGTGTGTGTGTGTGTGTGTGTGTGTGTGTGTGTGTGTGTGTGTTGTTTATGTGTGTGTGTCTGTGTGTGGGTGTGTGTGTGTGTGGTTGTGCGTGTGTGAGTGTGTGTATTTTGTATGTTAAAATGGATATAAGTGAGTACCTATATCGTTGGATTACATTGTAAATGAATGTGCCTAGTATTATAACTAACTTTTCCTAAACCAAGACTAGATTTTCACATTCATGATAATCGAAATCTTTTAGCCATTTAAATACTTCTGCTTTAATGATGTAAGGGTTATCTGTTTGGATTTTGACAGCCTTGATGAATTTATTATAAAGACGAGGACCTTGGAAATTATAGTGACGTTTGGCAAAAACAGTCTTAACTAATGGTAATTTAAATAAATTATTTCTCTTGTTTACATTTAAAGAAGGTGTTGTCTTGTGATAGCGAGTTACACATTTCAATATGTAGGATTGTCGCACGCTTAAAACTTCTATTTTATTGTATACATCAATCGTAGGGTGCCTATAAGGTAAGGAAAGTGAAACCTTCAGTACTGCTCTTTGTGCACGTTCAACTTCAATTAGGAACGATTTGCAAGCACCACCCCATGAACAGATGCAATAGTTGATTAAGCAATGACACAGGGCGTTGTATATTTGTATCAGCTGTTCATGTTTTAGAATGGTTCTTAGGTTTTTGAACACAAATATAAAACGTCTAAGCCGGTTTGCTAAAGTAGATATGTGTTTGCTCCAATTTAATTTGCTGTCAATGAAAACCCCAAGATACTTAATGCAATTTAAGTTTTCAATTTTTGAGCAATTGCAATCAGTGTTTGATGTTTCGAGTGTATTACAGGGATGAGTATGTAAGATAATAGAAAAATTTTTAGGTGGTGCAGATCGAGCTGTTTTGTAAAAACATACACATTTAGTTTTGGAACTGTTGATGGTAAGTAAGCTGTTCTCCAGCCAATTAGTGACTTTACATAATCCCATTTGGACAAGATGTTGTACAGTATCCCAATTTGATCCACTGAATAAAATGACAGTATCATCAGCAAACATGAGCAGATCCGCATTTGACAGTTTAATTTGACATAATTCATTTATATATATTAAAAACAGGCTAGGTCCAAGAATGCTGCCTTGAGGAACTCCATAACTGCAAAAGGCTGGTCCACTCAGATGCCGATCGATACGTATTTTTTGAGTTCTGTTAGATAAATAGTCACTAAACCAAGAATGAGGTACTCCTCTGATGCCAATGTTATGTAGTCGAGTTAATAGCACAGGAATCGAAACCGTATCAAATGCCTTTTGCAAATCAAGAAAAATACCAGCACATTTCATGCCTTTGTCTAGGTAAGCTGTAATTTTAGTTGTTAAGGCAAGAACAGCATCCTCGGTGGAGTTATTTGCTCTGAATCCGAACTGATTATTATTTAAATATTCATTTTTTTCAAGATAAAGCATCAACCTTTTGTTAGCTAATTTTTCAAAGATTTTTGTTAGAGTGGACAACAGACATATCGGCCTATAATTATTAGGGGAAGTAAAATCACCTGATTTGTGAATAGGTATGACAATTGCTTGCTTCAACAAGTTTGGAAATATTCCTTTTTCGAAACTTAGATTACACAAATGGGCGATAGGTTCACATAGATATTGACTACAGATTTTAAAAAATTAGCACAAACCTTTGATTCATATCCGGTAAGGAACTTCATTTCGCGTGACATCCGCAAGATGGCGTCGCGGTTGCCTTCCGAGGCCGCCTTGATTATTTCGATATATTGGTCCATGAATTGTTTGGAATACTCGCGTGTTGCTCCAAAATCAAGGAGAATCACCTGTTAAACGACATAATTATACTATAGTAATAATAAAACACAATGAAGTTTTATAACATAACCGGTTATTTAATTGAAAGAATATAAGATTATGGGAATCTGAAACAACGAGAGTTTCACACAAATATTGTCCAGAGACAATAAATAATAGTGAGTTTTGTACATTTACCCAACTGGGAATCGAACCCCATAAATGGCGACTCTCAATCACCGAGACCATGAAATATTCAAATGACGGTTGTTCGAAAATGCCGTTTAAAAAATTGAGACGAAAGTAAGCAAATAATGATTTCTACGTTCTATGAGAAAACGAAGAAGATCATAAAAGTGAACAAAATCAAGTTAACTTACTTGTTTCGTGTTGGTGTTGTAAAAGAAATTCGCCCAATTGGGGTCCGTCTGCATACATCGCAGTACGAACATCTCGCGGAGACAAAGCCTCATGATCTTGGAGGCTATATCTAAGCGAGTCTCGTACGGAGCATCGAACAATTTATCGATCGGCATGCCATCTATCAGCTCCGTGGTGATCACTTCAGGTGCGCAAAGATCATCTGAATTATATTCACTTAATTATTAAACAAACAGTTAAAGTACGAGTTAACAAGACACCTGAAGGACTTTTTGGCTTAGTAAAATTAAAAAGTGAAAGAGCCTCAAATATGAATACAACATTTGTTAAATTCATATTAAATTTCATTTCCACTGATATTCAAGATTAAACTCACCTACAACTTCTGGTACAAAATACTCAGGGTATGGCGCTAATAATCTTTTGAATTTCCTGGTGCACTCAGCTTCACGAATGTAATCTACCTCCCAAGCTAACTCCTTCTTTGCAACCTCCACTATGTTGTCTATGAACATTCCCTTAGGAAACACATTCCATACCTGCATATAATAGAAATCATTTGACATTTAATCAAATCATCAATATTATATCATAAATCAGTTGACAAGGTCTCTTGTACGACAAAAGCATGTTTTTAGAAAGAAATTTTCAATTTTAATACCTTTAGCACTCCAACTAGGTTATCGATATCACTGTTGATTCCTTTAGCAACTCCAGGGTATTGAACTTTCATCGCCACCTCCTGTCCACTATGCAACACTGCTAGGTGGACCTGACCTACATATTAACTTTCAAATTTGTATGTCTAGTTCATTAGATTTCCAAGAGGTAATATGTACATGATAATAATAGATGAAATAGTCGACACTTGGTCTATGGAAATCTGAAATAATGAAGAAACCGCAGCATCCAGACCTGAGCTCATGTAAAAAATCTATAAGATCAATATATAAAAGTTGATTTCCTACACTGGCCAACCGGGAATCGAAGCGGGGACCTCAGCGATGCCGACGCTTTGAAAAAGGTGTATGATCACCCGGTCAGTAATGTCAATCAGGTTCATACTTTTTTAAATATACCATCATCATCATCATCACCAGCCCTTTTACGTCCCCACTGCAGGGGCTCAGGCCTTCTTTATGGATGGTTAAGGAGGATGGGCCATGACCCTCCACGCTGGCCCATTGCGGATTGGAGGGTATTAACGACTGCAAATGCAGCCGGGACCAACGACTTAGCGTGCCTTCAGAAGGCCGGAGTAGCTCGAGATAATAATTTTTTGGTCACCCATCCCGTGACCGACCCTTGCGAAAGTTGCTTAACCACTGCGATCGCAGGCCGCGGCGCTTATCCACTACGCCACTGAGCTACTCAATAAATATACCGAGCAAAATTATACCATAATGAAGTTATATCTTTCTTACCATTAGTTATATCGTTATTTCTCTTAGGCTCTTTACTCATGGCTCTATGCAATTCAACTGATATCGAATTGATCGTCGATTTAACATACGTACCAATGGAGCGCGTCGCAATTCGGTCGATTTATTGAAAATCCATATACCAAACAACTTTTCTAAATTCAATATTTTTTATTTATAAAGTAAAGTTAGTGTTTTTATGATTTGGCAGATTATGCAATCTCATGAGTAAACAATTACGATTCTTTACACATTTTATAAGGCGTGCCATTCGTGCGATGTCGCTCATCAATATCGAATTGTATCCCATCAAGCCAAGAGTAAGGAGCCTTATACACATGAATTGAGTTGCTAAATTATTGTATACTCACCAATAGATGCAGCGGCAAAAGGTTTTTCTTCAAAGTGCTGCACCCTTGAACGCCAATCAGAGCCTAGCTGGGAGCTCATTACTTTCTCCACCTAGAACATATTAATGATTAACGAATCACATACGTCAAAAAACAAAATATTAGCATATAAAGTAAATAAGAATATATTAAAGCAGAATAAATCTTTAAAATTAACTCTAGGGCAAACTCTGTACCACCATTCAAAATTGGTTTACATTTATTTACTGTTCTTATTATATCATCATCGGCCTCTTGACATCCCCACTGCTGAAGTGAGTGTCTTCCATGAATATTAACATATATTCAAATCACCTCATAGCCTATGTGGATCAGAGGGTGCTAACAACTGAAGATGTAGCCCAGACAGGATGATGTAATAAATAATAAGTTTTTAGACCACCCTAACCATGATTAGCTTTAGTGAAAGTTGCTTAGCCTCCACATTTACAGACAAAACACTCTAAGAACTATGGCATTAAGCTCTGTGTAGCATTAAGCTTCACTAAAGATAGAAAATAAATGTAAATTATCAGCTCAAGCTCCAGGAAATATAATATGATCTCCGATTACTACCTGCCAAGTGGGCATGAAGTCAGCTGACTGCCGCACTCTCTCAAAGATCCTCTGAAGCTCTGGCGATATCATAGTGTCATCTTGTATACTCAGCAACTGACCTAACTTTAAAGCTGCACCTATTATTAAAAAAATTTCATGTACTACAATGATAACAACAAAAATTTGCAATAAATACATACGGCAAACAAATAGGACCAGATAAAAAATTATTAAGAATATTTTTTTCTAACATACATACTTAATATAATATATAATACTATATACTTGTTAAAGTTCTAATTCTATCATATGTCATGATTGGTTTTGCATCCTAAAAGATTCCAGTACTACATCATAGAGATAAAATAAAAATTAATTATATACTGTTTGTAAAAATAGAGTATAAAACAACTGACCTCTTACTTTACAAAGAGTGTCCACTATCCGTTCGGCATTTGCTGGTGACAAGAAAGTATTGGCGGTCTCATCAACCTTCCCAGTGACTGATTGTATTGTATTACGAGCATACTGAGCAACTGTACCGACTCCTAGACCCGCCGCTAGTGACCCAAAAGATATCATTCTACCTATTCGTGATGAGGGTACCACTCGTGCTTTGGAGTTCTCACTTAGCTGCAAAAGAAAAATGAAATCAGCTGAGCAAATGTTGCCAATAACTGACTTTATATTTTCAATGATAACTATCTGATCTTTAAAATAATATATTTTGAAGGGTTACAGCACATTATGTCTTTAAACTTTGCCATTTTTAGTAACCATTTAACCAAGACATTAAAATATCTTAAAAAATAGAGATGACACTAATCAATTTAATTTATGAATTATGAATATTATTTAATTCACATTACTTACAGCTACTCTTATTTTCTTTTTAGCTATTGGTTTAGGTGTGCTCAAACTGCTAGCAGTATTAGATGTGACGGCTTCAGATTTAGAAGGGGGTATTTGTATTTTTGATGATGTGGGAGTCACTTGTGCAGGTGAAGATACCATACTTTTGTCTCGTAGTTTAGCCAGTGGCGAAATATATTCAATACTTGTTGATGACTGATTGGACATATTATTTTGTGATTTCTTCAATGTATCAAATGTCTTATTGAACTCTCTATTCAATTCTTCTATTTCTTCTTGTAGTTCATTATCCATTGGCACAGCTGTTTCTGTTTCAGTACTAAAGTTAGAAATATGTAACACAGCAAATTGTCTAAAGCCTTGAGCTACAACCGCCGCTCGCTCCAGTAAGTCTTTAGCATCCTCTGCCTTAGGTTTATAAGCTGATATAGGGTTAGTTGGGCAGTTTTGTGTAATGGTTTTTAGAGAAGAGTTATTCCATATTATTCTAGAATTTTCCTGTTGCAGCTTTATACCTGCCTCAATTACTAATTGTAGTCCTCGTACCATACGAATTAAATCATTAATATGTGACATTGCCTGAAATAGAGTTTAGTTGGTGTAAAGCAGTTATTTACAATACATTGTGCAGGTTAGATTTAATAAATGTTAGGTAAGTTTGCTAAATTAATATTTTATTATTGGCATTTATGATGGGGTGTTAAGTTTTGCTTGCTATAAGTATCTTAACCTCTTTAAGTGTTAAGTAAATTTTATATAGCTTTATAGAATATGAGTAAACCATCTTATACATATATAAAGAATATGATATGAGTTATTGCATAACAATGCAAGATACAATTTATTAATAATATTTACAATATAGAATTATTTAAAATCCAAAACATTTTATTTGAATTGTATATCTCGCATATACGAGAGCTTCATTAAAATTATATTGTACGATTAAAAAAATATATTCAAAACATGTGTGAAACTTTAACTTTGTGTAGGTTAACTTACTAATTCTAGAAGAACTTAGTTCACAGTTATGAAGTTTATTTAAACAATCATTAATAAATAACCGTGAAAAGATTTAATATTATCATTCAAGGGACACTTAATCTGAAAATTTCGAAACAAAAAAATATTTTAAAACTATTGCTACTGCTGTGTGACCATTAACTAAAGACTAGTCCCCTATTCTATAATTGGGAACTTCTGAAGACAACCGATAAAAATTGTTCACAGAGTTCTGTAGGCAACCGGTCAACGCTCGGTTTGGTATGGTACAAACCTTGTAACACGTTATTTATGTTGTATCTACGTTAGACAGATATTGTGCTATATTTAACAATAACTAAATAAACAATAAATATTCAGTCTAAATAGTTCGAATCATTATAGAAGTACTTACTAAATTAATTGGTTGTTGAATCGTTTTGGAATTTCACGCGCAAATCGTGTTAAAGAGTGAAATTCCTTACATATAGGTACCTATTTAGCAATGTTACCGTTAAGAGAGAAAAACGTGTTAATTAACTCGTTGAACGCTAATTTAACCACCACTAGTTGAATCAGAAAATAGGTCTGTTGTTCGGGCAAAGTTCTTTTAGTTGTTCTTTTTTTTATAGCATAAAGGCTTAGATAATCATAAGAGCACTTCGATTAACAAACAATATATGTCGATCGAAGCATAGACCACAGATTAGTAATACATACTCGGTGGAACAGAACGACCGACACTCCCGAGGTTGTGCTACGTAATCTCTGACTTGCAACTTTAGTTCCACGTCCAACAACTATAAAATGTATCTTGAGTATGGAGAAACCCAGCCCATTCAAAATTATCAATAATAATCTTAATTTATAAATAGCTTTGTTTTCTATATACATTCTATTTGTATTATCTTTAACAATGTAATCAGATATACGCGCTCAGAGCTTTTTTTATTTTATTTAAATTCAAAATTGGCGTATTTTATTATTTATTTTTTTACGTATAAAGACTACAAACGTGACATTGGAGGAATTGTGTAAACACAAATAGGTCATGAATTAAAAAAGAAGAAGTGAGTCGTCATTCAATCTTTCATTCATTTCATTGACAGTTTTTACACGTAGAAATTGTTTTACCCTTAAATGCATAGCGTATCAAAAATGAAACGTCAACTTTAAGGCCGTCTATAAACGTACATATTCATAAATTTTGATTTGGCTGTATGGAAGTAGATTCCTTAGACCCATACGCTCTTATGAATATTTAAAAACGGCAGTTGTTTTCATAACGCGCGAAATTGAAACGTCATTTTCGAACTACGTACAAACGTTGGCGCGACCGGCAAATTTGTCGAAATATCAATAGTGATAAAAAATATTTAAATTGAAGTTTTCTCTGCAAATAAAATATATTGTATCGGTAAGTAATCATATTTTCTGTTTATGTGTTTACTTTTTACTAATATCTTTGATTCAACATGTTTTTTCCCTAAAAATGTATCGTTTCAAAAATGATACATTATGCACTAACGGCATAAATATTCTTATATTGTTTTGTGCGGCAATTTGGTGGTGGTTGCATGTTTTTATATGTTTTTTACAGCGATGTCGTCTAAAAACTGCAAAGACAATGAGATAGAAGATATACTTCGGAGATTGGAAGCGGGGGATATATCCGACGATGATTATGAGTCGGAAGGAGATGATTTGATGGACTTCTATCCTACGAGAGAACAGCTCCAACATGTATTAGAGGAAGGTTCGTCAATACATGAGGATACAGGTAATGAGGATAGCTCAGATCCCCCTAAAGTATACGATGATGGACCCGGCCCAACTCCTTCTGCAAGTACTCCAGCTACGACTGCTACAAGTCGTAACGTCCGACAAATTATATGGAAAACCCAAAAATTTCAATTTGACGAGAATAAAATTAAATTTGAAGACAATAATCCTTTTTCATCTGACATTGCTAATTTAGAAACACCATTCCAGTTTTTCTCCTACTTTTTTAACACAGAATTTTTGGAAAGTATAGTACAAGAAAGCAATCAATATAGTGTTCAAAAAAATCCATCTCGGCCAGAGATTATTACTATTACCGAATTGCGACAATATTTTGGGATTCTCACATATATGTCTGTCTTTCGATACCCAAGTATACGTTCATACTGGAATACGAAACATTCTTTCACCCCTATAGCAGAAACAATGCCACTGAACAGATTTGAGAAGATAAGGAGTTTCCTGCATTTTAACGATAATGATAAGCATTTGCCCACAGGCCACCCCAACCACGATAGATTGCATAAACTAAGACCCGTTATCGATCACCTAAATCAAAAATTTGGTTCTTTGCCCTTCGAACAAAGATTATCACTAGATGAGCAGATGTGTGCTACTAAGATGGGTCACTTTTTGAAACAATATTTGCCGAACAAACCTCATAAATGGGGCTTGAAATTATTTGTTTTATGTTGCTTACAAGAATTTGCTTATCAGTTTGAAATATATTCAGGAAAAATAATCCATGATAGTCTTCCAACTGAGCCTGAACTTGGTGCAGTTTCTGATACTGTGGTGAGACTTACACGAAGAGTGCCGAGAAATCGCAATCATATTATCTACTTCGATAATTTTTATACCAACTTACTTCTTATGCATTATTTCGCTCAGCAAGGTATTTACTGCCTTGGCACTGTCCAACGAAATAGACTGGGCAAAAATTGTAAACTACCACATAAAATGGAAGTTATGAAAAACGACATACCGAGGGGACATTACGTGGAGAATGTGTCCCACCTATGAGGGAACTGCTGCTGTGAGCTGGAAAGATAATAAACAGGTCATACTTGTGTTGTCCACATATGTTGGAGCTGAGCCAGTAGAAACTTTTGTAGAAACGATACGACAACAAAGAAAAAAGACGAGTGCCCATTCCATGTCCAAGGGTTATAAGAGAGTATAATTCACACATGGGTGGTGTCGATCTAATGGACAGTTTCTTGGGGCGCATCCATATGAAGACTAGAAAATGGTATTTGAGAATATTTTACCATCTACTGGATATTACTATAATTAATTCTTGGGTCCTTTATCTAAAAGTCAACAAACAGAAGGGAGTCAACCCTAAAACTCTTATGGAGTTATCAGAATTCCGCGCGAACTTGGCCGAAGCGCTTTGCAAGTATGGAGCGCCACGAGAAAATAAAAGGGGAAGACCCAGTTCAAGCATTAAAGATGCTATCAGCAAAAAGAAAAAGAGTGCCCGCTTACCACCTATGCCTGCTAAAGACGTACGATTGATAGATATGGGCACGATCAAATTAGAACGGACAAGAAAAGACGTTGTCAGTATCCGGAATGTAACCTTTTGAGTTACATTAAATGCTCAAAATGCGACATATTCTTATGCTGTAAAAAGAATTGTTTTTTATTGTTTCACAGTAATTAAACGTAATTATAGGCAAAAAATGATATAATATACTTGTATCACCATACTTTTTTACTAATTACTAGTACTAAAAACGTAATAATATTTTGGTCAATAATGCATAGTGTATCATTTCTGATACATACCTTTTATTAATAAAAAAATATGAAAAAAATTTTTTTTCTATTTTTCCATGAAAATACACTTAACCCTCAATTCAATATATTTATTTCATTGAAATCAAAAAAATCATGCATTTAAGAGTTAATTTAATTACAGAGTGAGCTACTCTGGCGTATTAGATAAGCGCCGCGGCCCGCGATCGTTGTCGTTAAGCAACTTTTGCAAGGGTCGGTCACGGGATGGGTGACCAAAAAATTATTATCTCGAGCTACTCCGTGCTTCGGAAGGCACGTTAAGCCGTTGGTCCCGGCTGCATTTGCAGTCGTTAATACCCTCTAATTCGCATTGGGCCAGCGTGGAGGGTCATGGCCCATCCTCCTTAACCATCCATAAGGAAGGCCTGAGCCCCTGCAGTGGGGACGTAAAAGGGCTGATGATGATGATGATGAATGACATTAGCAGATAAGCCACTAATAATAAAAGAAGAAGTTGTCATTCAATATTAAAACAGTCTGAAAGTATATTTTACCGGCCCTTCGTATAAATAGCGTCAGATAGTCAACTTGTATACCAATAAATAAATATCAAAAATACGGTAAAGCTCGATAAGCATCAACTCATTGATCCAGTCTTTATGTATTATTTATGTCCTTGATAAAGCGTTTTTCAAAATGTTGCTCGTGATTGTGAAAAGACGATTTCTGCAGTTTATCATTACCTAGACTAAGCATAAGTTTATTCTATTCTCAACAGCAGTAAATGTACGTAGATTAATCGAACACAACACGTGTGTGGGTGTGTCAACACAACACATCCTTTTTATTCTTTTTTAAATCATCCTTCAATAAACGTGACGGCAACGTGCCCATGCGCGTTCGTACTGGCAGTCTTGGAAGTCAGTCAGAACTGGAAATCCAGAACAGCTTGACTACATAGTAATCTTTGAGTATAACATGATAAAATCCGAGATCAGAGTAATTTTAATTTAAAATTCAAACAAACAAACATTCTTAAAACCTTTTTTTTTTTAAATACCATCTTAATTCTAAAACAGAGTAACAATGACAATAAATTCGAACAGAGCTGACTGCGAATGAAGAACTGACAAAGACCGCGTCTTTAATTCTTTAAATTACTAATACATTCATCCCACCCAGCCAGGATCGTTTCATATATTCAGTATGGAAGTAGTTAAATTAGCCCTGTTGCACGTGTCAATTATATATAAAAAATAGTAGTAGACAGTGGCGCCACGAGGTGCAATGGGTAAGGTTATTTTAAATAATAACGTTATAGAAGTATCATATTTCTGTGATTAAATGTGTCTATGGAGTAATATAAAAACAAAGGCAAATTTAAATTCTTGAAAACCAATGTGAATCTTAAAAAAAGTTTATTACATATTTTAAATACAGTAGATACTAATATAAAACATTATAATAGAAAACGCACGAATTCATATATTGGTAAACAATTCACTCATATAAAGCTACCTTAAACAAACACTGAATATTTAGTCAAATATGTAAAATTATGAAACAATAAAACATCATAAAATTTATCAATTTACAATCTACCTATCTATACATCCAAAATTATTTCAATCGAATCGTGGTTCAAACAAAAACAATATATACATCCATATATAATCACGACATTAAGCAATCAAAATTTATTTGTTTGGATTTTCATTTATCATATGAATGTTATGCATGATAAAAACAAAAGAAATAATTATGCTGGTTATTATTATGCCATTGCATATATTTATACATTTATAAATAAATTAATTACAATAAAATATAACTTAACAAAAATAATTGTCTCAATAATTAAGCATAGGAGCGTAGCTACCGCCGTAGCTTTAGTACATAACGTTCTGTAAGCATTTAAACTTTAATATTTTTCTGATCTTTGTTTTTATAATTTAGCTCTATGAGTATGAAATACACAATTTAAAATTAATTATACAAATAACTTGCAACAAATTTTGATCATATTTTAATGTATAAACCTTTAAATTAATTTTTAAGGCAAAAACATATATTCAAATATCATGTATGTATTGAAATGAAATAATAATAAAATATAATGATTAAAATTAAACATACAGGATTATTTTTATACATCCATAGATCCATTGATGAATTATTTTTAAAATAAATATTGAGTTTGTATATTCTAAAAACACAATAAAATAAAGCATAGCAGGAATATTTAAACATCCATACAACCAAAGTTACATTAATAAATTAAATTAATAATAAAGATTAAGTAGGTCTCTTCAAAACACCAAATATTAAAAATATTTACGTAAGTGCTTTATAGCGGTGAATCAAATATAAATAAAATTATCAATTGTAAACCGTTTTTTAACGATCCAATCGATTCTAATAGCTTGTTTTTATTCGTGCATGCAATAAAATAAATAATGAGCTTTATTTAAAGGCAAATACGCACCAAAACAAATAATTTTAACATATTAAAACAGTTAAAATTTTGTTACGAGTGGAATAAGTACAATAAGTAGAGTACTAATAACATAATTAAAATAAACCATGAATGGTGTGATACCGGTGATTTTAAGGATATTAAGTATCTGAGCGTCTTTTTGGAATGGGTAAACATACGTTTTCAATAGTTTGTATCGTATAACTCTTTTCAATTAAGTAATTTAATCTTTAGTTTTGGCCGTTATTACTTCCATTACGCTTTCGAAGTGCTGCGCTGAAAGTGGAACGCAATGGGTAGATTTATAGTCACGCAGGTAAGTTCCGATCTGTAACCAATATAACAAGCTGAATTAGTTATAAGCGTTATTTTCAGCTTTATACCTAAGTTAAGAGATTTTTTTCAAATTTCATACGTTGCCGCTACAAATTAACTACACGAACATAATTAACATAGTGATTATTAGAATATCTAGATAATTCACTATGATAATTCACCCTCCTGTACTTTAGAAAATAGATCAAGAACCATAAATTCCTTATCTCTTCATTAATTTTTATTCCTTGCTACGTTAAAATATAATTTACCTACTCTAGTAAATAATGTAGAAATAGCTCAACAAACTGCTCCAATTAGGAAGGTGGAATATTAACAATAGTAGGAAGGTTTAAGATTTAGTAGTCTCATTAAAAATAAAAACTATAATATTTATAAATACTAATAGTTTCATATTTAGTATATATCCGAAGCTGTGCGTGTTATTTGGGGCATTTTTATAAGTACAAATATGTTTTGTTTTTATATAAGACTAGCTTTCGCCAGCGCTTCGCCCGCGTGTACCGTAGGGAAATGTTTAGTGGGATAAAAAGTATCCTATTTATCTAAGTCAGCTAACACCCTATCTGTATACCAAATTTCATCAAAATCCGTTCAGTAGTTTCGGCGTGATTGACGTACAAACATCCAAACATCTAAACATCCAAACAAAGAAACTTTCACATTTATAATATTAATAGGATTTAGTTGCAAATACAAGTCCAGTTCAGTCCAGTTAGTTATATGATTATAGCTGATGAGTCCCATTGAGACGTGAAAGTAGAATAGACGAACATACTTTCCTATTAAAATAGTATTATAATATCTGTGATATCAGTATGGATGGGGAAGTGATAATGGATTTTAAACTTAATATCTATTGCTATTAAAACCTTATAAAGTTCAGAGTCTTACCAGCCGAAGCGCTCGTAGCTCATACTCGTTAACACTAGTGTAGATAAGAGAGGCACGTTGAGCCTCTTGTAGCGACACGAGTCGATGCAGTGCATCCCGTGTGTTCGAATTCATACTAGGGTGGCGATTTTCCACCAGTTTTATAAGGAGATTGTTACCACGATTGCTGGCTAGTTGACCCTGTCTGCAGAAAGTTTGTTATGATTAAAAATCCTTAAGAAAAAGAGACGAGAAATATGGAGTTTGATGACACATTAAACGACTGTCATAATGGCCGATTATTAGATAGGTGATCAATTATTTATCTCGAGAAGTATAAAATAAATCATAAACAGTTGACAGAGATGTACAGTTTCTCCATCTCAACTCGACGATAAAAGAAGAAACGAAAAAGATTGTAATAAGACGATAAAAAGTTATCATTTTATTTTTATTTTTAATGAATATCTGGAGTAGGTTATTCCGGCCCTAACCTGAGACAAATGATTTCATCATCGGTGCGGCGGATGAGTTGCACCGGCCCATTGTATTTTACCACCCACTCGGCTACGTTCAGATTCACGTAGCTGCGGACAACTTCCTTCACAAGGAGGGACCAAGAGGCGGGCATCTGATTCTCCGCTAGCGGCAGTAAGTCGTCGAAAGTTGCGTCCAATACCTAGGGCCGAGTAATTTTTTTATGTCATGTCAGTTATTATTATCGTATATAACCTTGGCCTCAATTCTAACATTAGTAGCTAACACTAGCGGTATTGTCAATGGTACTTAACACATTATTTATTATTAATTACATCACAAAAATATCTGCTCAAGGAGGTAGTCTACCAGTTTTGATAAGTTTCGGTGATCTCAAAGGCTGCGTATGCACTGGTGATTTAATTGTCATTTCTATGGAAGTAATCTAATTGCAACCTGAGACTTGATTAGCTCTTCTATGAATTAGCTGGCTTATTCAAAAAGAGAAACTAACGACAAAATTTTATTTTGTCGTTAGTTTTTCTTTTTTTACCGAAAAAATACGTGGCAAGCCTAGTCAGCCTTTCCATTTGACTACCATTAGCCAAGCTACTCCGGACTCCGTTATAGTGCAGTAGCCACTTACGTGTTATAGTATAGTTGTGTATAGTTTTAACTGTCAATATTCTTACCAAGCCCTTAATCGTGGGATAGTTCACTGCTGCCCACGCAGCGGAATAACCGCCAATACTCCAACCGTACATAACGATGTCTTCTGGTTTAAAACCAAGTTCCGTTATAGCGTACTGTATAATCGCATCAATCGCGTTATGTTCTTGATCAGGATAAGGACGTCCCTAAAAGAAAAGATATCACACAGTGATGTACAGACTACAGAATACTCAGTTGCATAAGAATGATGCCTGGGTAAATATAGAGATTCTATTTAGTCTGTCAGACAGATCTTTTTTTTTCTTGAAGTTGAGAGGCTCGCTACGTCACAACTATAGTATGCAGGTATACGCAATAAAATTTATCTATTTCATATTATTTATTCAGTCTAAGACAGAGGTCGCCAATATGCAGCGCTTTTGCTGCTCCAAAATCCATACTCAAAAATATATTTTTTTCTGTTGAAACATTTTAAATCGTGTAATCGATCCATAGTTAAGTATAACATACTAATAGGTTGGGGGAAAAGTTTCTTCGCTTATTATATGATCATTCAGATATTTTTTTAATAAAGTTTATTTAAATTTAACTGAAGTATTTAGGCACCATTTTGTTTGATGACTTTTTGCCATCTTCTAGGTAATTTTGGGGCTTTTGATCAAAATTTGCAGAACCACTTTTTGGCAGTCCTCGCTTAATGTTAACCTTACACTGCCTAAAGAATTCTGAAGAGATCGAAACAGGTGAAAATCTGAAGGTGCAAGGTCAGGACTATATGGCGGATGCATTAACCTTCCAGCCAAACTCATAATTTTTGCTGAGTGACAAAAATGTGTGCGGTCTAGAGTTGAAAAACCACACCCCTTCTAATGATTATTTTGGCGGATTTTTCTCAACTTCTTGCTTTAATCTCATTAGTTGTTCGCAGTATAGTTCAGAATCGATGGTTTTGCCTGGTGGTAACAGCTCATAATAAATAATGCCCTTCCAATCCCATCATCCACAAAGCATCACCTTGTTGCGAGTTAACCCGGGTTTTGGCACAGTCTGTGAAGCCTTTTCCACACGTTCTATATAGTCATACGTGATCCACTATTCAACACCAATTATTAGCTTCTTCAAAAATTATTCGGTTTTATTACGGCGTAATAAAGAATAACAAATGAGTACACGGTTCATCAGGTTTCTTTCATTGAGCTCATGAGGTAACCAAACATTCAACTTTTTTGCACTCAGCTCTTTTCAAATGCGCTAAAACTGTTTTGTGGTCAATTCCTAGTTCTTCAGTTATGTCGTAATTACTGACATGCCGGTCTTGCTCCACTTTTAAAAAATGGCACTCATTTTATCCGTAACAGGGCGACCGGAGCGACGTGCATCTTTGACACCAAAGTTTCCAGACTGAAAACGTCTTAACCAAATTTGTGCTACTCTCACAGTAACTGCACTAGGTCTATAAACGTCACAAATTTAATCGCGGCTTACGTCGTATTTTTACCATTTTTTGTAATTAAATTTTAAAATGTATCGAATTTCTTCATTAGATTAACTCATTTTAACAGAAAAATGAAAAACTCACTTTGTCCTTATTTTGAATTCGGAGTTATCTTCTTTAAAATTTAAACTTATTAATGATACCGAAACCAGCCAAATACAAATCGTATACTAACCTATGCGAAAAGACTTTTCCTCCAACCAAATATAATATGATTAAGATATAATAACTAGGACTGAGGGATAGCATTCGAAGTCGTTTATTTTAAACATAATATGAATAATAAACGAAATCTTTCTGTGGCTAATGGACATTTGCGAAATTGGAAAACCATCTGTGCGAACACACATCCACGCCCGAAGACGTCGTGCTGAGAAGAATCGGCACGAAGCCTAAGCAAAGGCTGCTATTTTCTTCCTGTTTTAATTCATAAAGAGAAGTCCAGTTGTAATCCAATTAGACTATGAAGTCCGTTTCCATTACAATATAACAAATGTAAATTTGAGATAGGTAAGATGATTATACTTGTCGGATTCAATTGTCAAATACGTAATTGATTAATCGCAGCTCAACATTTTCCGAACATCTAGGCTAAATATTAAATAAGTAAAGTCAAGAATGATCAGCCTATTTCAATTGATAATAGGAAATTCGTATTTTCGCCAATTACGAAAGCATTGTAAAGAAAATGTTGATTCTTTGGTGTTATTAAAAAACCTAGCGTTATTCTACTCACCGTACTTCCCGCGAACCCTGGGTGATTCCATCCAAGCACGGAATACCCTGCTTTCGCCGGAGTAGTCATAATACCTATTTCATAAAATCCCGAGTTACCCTCGCAACATATCACTAGGATTTTGCCTCTTGACGGATGTTCAACGCGATTGTCAATGAACATTGTATCAATAGTGTTCGTATCAGCGGTCTGTATCTTCGCCCGTAAACCGTTGAAATTCTCCACCAAAAAGGTTCTACCTTTGAAAAGCTCGGTTGCTAAAAACAAATATATCATTTGGATGTGATCATAAAGCGATAGTCATATCTCGTTCGCGCACTGTGGCGTTACGCGCTCTTTTTTGTACGTTTCCAGGACACAAGGGACAGAGCTGAGTCTCATACTAATTATACGAAACAGATTTGCACGGTTTTCAATTTTCGCCTTTTTACCCGACTGCACAACGCAAAGTTTTGTTTTTCTTTTTAGTATTTAGTGAAATATATATATTTTTTTATTTTCACTTTTTTCTTTTGATTTCACGCAGTCGGGCTTTTGGTTTTTTACATTTTTTATTTAAATAACTTAAAAATAATTTATGTTGAATACTATATCGAAGAATTAATTATTTAAAGATATCGCTAGGCACTTTCGTTTGATATTTTAATTTACATTCCAATAGAAACCACGATTACTTTACACGGCCTTCTTTGGCTCACCGACGTACATACTTACTAAATTTCAACATATTAAGTAAGATAAGGTGAACTGAATTACTTTGTACTAATAGCCTTGTTTAAATTATAGAAGAAAGTAAAGAAATAAGGAATGGTATACATAAAATAGAATATTAAAATTATTTATAGGAAATTTTTATACGAACTTTGAAATAAGACAAACTATCTCGTAAATTGGACCGATTTCTTGGACTTATAAACAATTTCCAAATTTTTCCTTTTAGGTATAATTTAATATGTAATTTCAATATACCATTCTTAGGAATTATATTCCATATTAATATGTTAAAATATTAAAATAGTTTTGAATTCTAATGATTTGGTTTGTACATGTGTGCAATGGCTCATACAAAGAATTCTAAAGGTCTTTTCTTTCGCTTCCTTCAGCTAGTTTCGTTCTAATAAATATGCGTTTCCCCTAAATAATACTCACAAAGAAGGTGATTGATGAGCGATACGGAGCCAGGGTATATTAAGCGAAGACCGAATGTGTGAGTGGCCATGTACGCTAAGAACTGGATGCCAATGCGCTGGTACACAGGGAGGTCGGGATTGGCTGTACGGCTGAAAGGATTCCGGAACCAAGGTACTCTGAAAATAGAAATAAAAAAATTAAATAGTCAGAATCAGCGTGATAATAAATAAACACTAATTAGTAATCAACACTCACATGGCACGGGAGTTTACGGTATAACTTATTGGCCAGTATTTAAAATCGAAATCGTAACGCCTGACATTTTCGAGGAGATTGCGTTTATCACTGGCAGGTGTGGACAAAGCATTGACGAAGGCGACGTATTTTGGATTGGCAGCGCGTCCTATGCCTCGCACGATGTAGCAAAATGCGAATAGACCGCCCAGGCCCCAAAAACATCGCATCAGGAAACGCGCCTCGTCGGAAGAGAAGAAACCGCGCCGGTACACGTACAGACAGATGAAGGGCGAGGTGTAGAGACCAATGTTGAACAGAGTGTTTGTCTGTGAATACAATGTTAAAATTGCGTCTAAGTCAATACTTATTTAAAATTCCTAATTTATTTCAAATTGATCGTGTATAAATAATATTCAGATAAACTATTAATCAATATGTGATTTTTAAACAATCATGATAATATAATTAAATTTATAAACACAATTACAGAGTTATCTACAATATCAATAATGACTTGTGTAAGTTATAACATTATGTTTGAACATAAATTCGATTTTAGTTTTTTATATAATACCAATATTAAACTCACTGTTGATATTACTTTGTCACTCCATTTCTCCAGCCCTTGAGGCTCATACATGCTCTGTAAAAAGTAAACATTAATAATAAATCAATAATAAAGAACATGACATAAATAAATAAAAATAAAAATACATTGCTTAGATTCCAAGATGAGTAGCTAACACAGGTGTTTTATCTCCTATTGTCTCAGATATTCCATCATATTGCATATCTGAGACAATAGGACAATATAGAAAAATCATTTTCACCAGACAGGGAAACAAACCCGGGACCTTAGTGATGGTGACATCTTTTAATTGACGTGTTAACCACTTGGCTACTGAGGTAGCAATTTATAAATGTCACTTTTGAAATTGCAAGTGCTATGTCCCAATCATGATAACAAATGTTAATTCATTTGGCTATTGCAAAAAGAAAGTATTCCTGTTAAGTTCCTTCAAATACTCCCGTTAAATTGCTCCATGAAGCATTCAACATTTGAGTAATAATTATTTTTTTAACAAAAAGAGTAAGGAATTATTAGTAATTCTGTTGCATAGACTGGACTTTTATGTTTAGTCTTATAAATCTGGATTTGAAATTGTGAAAATAACTAAAATAACAGAATTAAACTTATTTTGATTTAATTATTTAGATTAGTAACCTTTGACACTATTACAGGGTAAGTAATAATTAACTATCAGAGGAAACTCATACTGGGTTTATGTGAAAATGAAAAATTTGCTTTTTTTCGAATAGATATAACGACTCTGCTGAACTGATTTTCTTTAAAATTCAAACAGTACCTGGGTTGATACCTGATAGTCAATCTGAAATGCAGATAATATGCATAAAAATATCGTCAATATTGTTATAAAAATGATTTGGTACTATAAGAAATTTTGTTTTCTGCAGAACTGAGTAGGGACCCAGAGTGCAGTGTTATAGAGAGAGAGAGAAAATATAACACTCCAGAGTATAATATTCTGACTTATATAATAAAACCTGATTATTTCTCACCACAAAAGAACTAATTAATAGCACAAATTAATAGTAACACCACAACAATATTATAACTTATGCCATTATGTGAGCAGAGTGTCTGTAAAGGCATATAGACACCAAAATTTACAAAGCTAAATTAGGTATTTCAATTCTTATTTATATTTCATAAATGATATAATTACTTAAGTATATTTACTTATGTTTTCTGTATGCAATAAAGTGTTTTCTATTTATGAGAACAAATTCAGTGCAGGATACATTCAAGGCAGGTGAGTGATTACTCAAGGTGATGGGTAAAAGTTATTAGATACAAAAAAGGTAAAACAAGGAAATATGGTTCATTATGAGGTCTATGCTGTGTTGAGCAATGTATTGCTCTTTCAGAGGTTTTATGAAGCAACCCATGTAGAAATTTACATTTACATTTCAATTAATATAATAGGAGTTGTATATTTGTTTTAAATTAATAACTATATCCATTCCATTCAAATTCTCTAATATAAATTTATCTTTAAGAAAAAAAGCTATCCCATAATAAAAGATGAACATATTTTATTATCTACGCTGAGAAAAAATAAGACTAAAGCACTTAGTAACAATAATTGCTTAATTATAACACTAAAAGAAATATTCAATGATTGAACTTACTTCTTTAGGGCCATCTCGATAAATTTTATATAATCGCGGTGTAAGCATACACTTAAAAGCTAACTTCATTTCGGATTCAGATTATAAAATTCTCAAGCAAAAAGACAAAACTTAAATTCTTCAAGTCACTAAATAATGTAGTGGTTAGCTATCGAAGCTACTTATTTTTTTATGTGAAAATTATATTATTTCGCCACTTCAAATATTTATGTCAGTAAGCAATGATAATTGATTCACTGTACACACTTTTCGACATATAAATATATTCATAAATTTTGTGTTTATTTCAAGAGAGAACTCACTCTCCCATTTTTTGTCATACTCATTAGAGGTGAGGCGTATTTACTAGAACAGATCCAATTACTAGGTACTTTTCAATACTAGTTAAAATTTTGTAAATACTTAATCCACCTAGTATTTCTATACGGTACACAATTTTTGACACTAATTTAAAAAAATTGAGGTCATAATTGCATTTACGTGTCATGCTTAGCTATTACTTTTCTTCATTTCACAATTTTAGACTTTAATTATAATCACAGTGTCAAATTCCATAATTAGTTAGGCGCAAGTATACAAAAACGGCGTTAATGTCTATAATAGATTGACTAGTTAGTAATATAAATCAATTAATCTAATTTTGCCAGTTTTATATATAGCAATACTAGGCAAAATAATAGATCCACCTTTCATTTCTGAAAATTATACGATTATCGGCCTTACGCTAAAATGTTGGAGACCATATTTGCACGTACTTGTCATTTCCACTTAGTATTTTTTCTCCATATCATAAGTAATATTTGACATTGCACAATGGAGTATAGATGCTGTGGCTACACCACCAGTAAGACAGTAATAAGACTACATCAGTTATAGGAAAATTTATTTGTATATCCGCCAATGAAATAAGGAGCTCTTAAAAGAACTATTTCAACGTCACTGTCCGTATGAAACAAAGGAGAAAGCAACGCAACAAGTGCGTGTCAACAGCTGCGCGCCACATGTCAACCTTCCGCAACGCAGTCACCCGCACGCTCACCCGACGCCTGGCAAAAAGGATCTCGTTAACTCTATGCCAGCCTTTATACGCCACGTCACACGATCCCTCGTCCCGCGTCTCAGTCCCTTTCCCTTTCCTCTCGTCACTTTCCCCTTCCATTGTAAATATTGTAGCTTTCTTGTAATTGGTTTAAAATGTACATTTCTCATTGGTTAAGTTTGTATTTATAATTTTAATTGGTTAATATTATATTACGTTTTAGTATAAGTAGCTGTAAGATTTGTGAATAAAACATTCCATCCTTCCACCTTCTACGGAGTTTTACTACCTGACGACAAGCAAGCCTACGACCCGATCAGAGTTGCCAAAATGCTATAGTTACGCTGCTGCAATTACTAAAAAATACTTGGTGAATAGATATTTGTACCGAGTATTCATATTAAATTTACCTAGTATAACCCAACTCTAATACTCATAGACTCATAGTGTTTATATTGTCTTTGTTCTTAGATAGGGATGCAATGATATATTGGAAAACCCATATAAACAGATTAATCAATGTCCCAAAGTAACAATATCTAAGAAACAGCGATACCGAAAAAACCAATACATTGAAACCTAATATCGAATAAAACCTAAGAGTAATTGTATATCAGTTGTTCATACTTTAGCATCCAACGGTAGTAACACGTGGGTCATTAATTTATAAACCTAATATTTTGCTTTGAAATTTGTATTAGTTTGTATTATTAAAATTTGTACTTAATTATATTATTAGTATTTATAAAATAAAGTGTCTAATCTAATCACAATCTATTTAAAATGGCAATAAGACATTTTCCCAACGTGCAACGATTTTTTGTGCAACGATATAAAAGAAATACGAGAACGATAATATCGATGAATGCTTGGTCTATACCAAACGTGACGTTACTCTGACTACGCATACAGAATTTAATATTACACCAAGTAGGAACAGGGTTAGTAATTAAGTCAGGCAGTAGCCGCCACCAATTATTGATAGATTTTTTAATATCCTACTATAGGTATTAATGATAAAACGTATTTTATTTACGTAAGGTTTTAAAAAACAAGATTTTTTAATTTACCTAAGGCCCAAAAATATATCGATATTGTGTGGCGATATGTCTACATATACATATATGTTTAGACTAGCTTTTCCCACATCTCGATGTCACAATTCATGTAGGTACGAATAGTGACGTCTGCCCCCCCCGGTCGCTCCGGTCGAACTTCGTTGTCCCTTCACGGCACGCACCCAAGATCCTTATAGAGCCGTACGGAACGGAACATTTCTCGGAACCGCACGAACTTTTGCTGTTAAGAACTAGTTTTTCTTTTTTTAAGCAGGGATTTAAAGACAAATTTATTAAACTTTTTAGAAGTATGTATTTCGTATCATGACGAGGGTTACTAGAGTTAGTTAAAAGAAAAAACGATTAATGTATATAGTCGTAACCTTTATTTATAGGTAATTAGGTTTTAAATTTCAATTACAATTACAATACAGATCTGAACGAGTATATCTTTATAAGTAGTTACAAGTACCTAGGTAGCTAAAAATTGCTTTATGAAAATACCAATTTTGTACGGAAAATTTTATATTTTAATCGGCATCAAATTTTAACATCTATACATTAACACGAAATAGCGAACACAAGAAAAACATAATTATTTACAAGGAATATTTACATAAAATGTGGAAACATAGGAACAGGTTAATGCCCTATTTGTAAAACACAAGATCACTTTCATGTTAAATAATTTTACAAATTTTGTACACATAAAATATAATCCAAAATGGTAGGTATTTAGAAAATAGAATTTAATATTATATGTGGATAGTTTTGATTATAATTACTTAAAATCTGTGGTATTATACATGGATAATGCACACGAGACAGGTGCTGAACGAAAATTTGTTTGTCATATCATAACATGGAACAACGTTACAAACATCAAAGTATTATGAGTAGTTTTAAAATTAAATAATTGCTTATAACAAGTTATACAAACCAAACAAATTTTTCTCACCATAAATAATTTAATTGGTTCTGAATAAATTATTCCATAGATATACAGAATATAATAGAATAATCTATATCATAAAATTAGCAGACAGAAAAAGAATATTGTAAGAAGGGCAGAAGGGAATCTATTCAACTCAGTAATTTATTAAATAAATGCTATGAAATTCAATTCATAAATACACCACTTCTAAAATCCTTTAGATTGATTGAACAGATTAAGAGAGCAAATTTTTGTACCTAATTTGCATTGAATAAACTTAGAATGCGAACGTGAATTATTATTGTTCTCATTAATTTTAGGGAACATACCACATTAAAAAAAATAGAACACAAATTATTGCAGGTGTATGGTTATTTTCAGACTTAAAAGGTAAAATAATATCGATTAACCTTTCAAATAACATTAATCACTTATCAGAGCTGTACCTACTTACACTGGACACCTTAGTTATAAGATAGAAATAAATTTTCAAATATATATCCCATTTTAATGATAACACCAATTCGATTTAAATATTAAATTTGCCCTTTATCAACCAGTCAACTGTTGGAGGATACCACTATTATAATAAACTTTACAATTAAAATTAGATATCGGTAGCAAGAAGAGATACAACAATTTCCAGTAACAAGTTAAAAGTTGGCACAATTATGTTTATAAATTCAATGAGACTCTTTCGTAAGACAACATTCATTTAATTGATCTTATAATTAATTAAATAAATTATCATGAGATTCAACCAAGGTAAATTATTACTTTTTTATTATAGCAATAACTTGTTATGTATAAATTTTTTTAACACTAAAAGAGTTTCGGTATCCTAAAGGATAATCGTTTTTGCTTAACAACAGACGCGAGTACCAGCCTCGTTTGGGATAACAATTTTCAACGCTTTTATTACATAACAAGAAAAATCTAACTAATCGCTTGTAGAAAATTATCTACGTTGAGTATCAGCAGCTGATCTGAAAAAAGAAAATTAAAATATTAACTTTGAAATTTCATTTTATTCGTTGCAGTCATTTTTGTTGGTGCCATTTGAATTGCCGCAATTGAATGCATTTTTTGTCAGATATATGCCAACCTTTATTCGAAATTAAAAGTAAATCCTTTAAACGAGCAATACTTGTATATCTAATAATATGCATTCCAAAACGGCTCCAACTATTTATATGAAATTCGATTCATTGCAGAGGGCGTTGGGGTCGTTAAATCTAGATAAATTAGCTGCATTTTAATTTACCAAAAAATACCGGTTATCCAGGTACTAAGTATAAATACCTACTAAGCATGGCACGTAAGCTGAACCAAAACGCGATTTGCTGCGCAGGTGTCTGTTTGGTATATTGCTTTTGTTCACATAACACATACCTACCTCTTTTCAGTTCTTTTGTTTTGGTTACTCGCTGCATCTCCATCACCATCTCCACTCCGAATCTCAACCGCCATTTTGGTTCATGTTACGTGCCGAGCCTTTTACCCATTTAATACATTCGAAGAATAATTTGAATAGGTAATCGTTTATTGTGATTGAATAAAAAAAAATGCATGGCTAAATATGACTTTTGCCAGATAAGATTTTTTTTAATAAATCGCTGTCTTCTCGACTTACCCTGAAATAATCTCTGGTCCTGGCCAGGATTGGTGACCATCCAATGTTCTGTTGACTGTAAATATAGAGATTGTGATAAAAAGATTTTTAAGAAGCTAATCTGTCATTTTAAAATAAATTAAGCGTTTCACATAAAGTCTCGCTCGCTTTGTTTCTATGAAAAATTCGAATAACCAAACACATCTTTGTGATTTTTAAAAATAAATTATCAAATACATGTAGTAAGTAGGCAATTGAATCAAGAAATACTTCATTTAATAATGGAATATTGGAGATTGTTTAGTAAGAAAGAACACAGCAGTCGGTAAAAAACTGATTATACCACCACATATAAAAAAATTCGCTTTGCAATTTGTACTTAAATTTAAAAAAAATATTTCGTTAACTTTCTGAAAAGTGTCTTCAGAAATAAGTTATAAGTAAGTATAGTTATTAAATTTTTTACCTATGTGAAGCAATTAAAACTGAATGTTACTTAGTTATTTAAATGGAAATGTTACCCGAGATTTAATTTGTAATAGGGATATGCTATTTTGGTAAGTGTATTTTCTAAATATTATCGAAAATACAAGGCATATTACGAAGATAGAACGAGATAATAGTACAACGCTTGTTACATAATTAAAGACATAATTTCTTAGCTGACAATCACCTAAATGGAATGAAAAATATCGGTTAATTGTTTTTTTTTTTACGTAATAAGTCTTTATAATTACCTAAGTAAAAGTATTAAAAAGAAAATTCGCCAAAAGCTCAGAATCGTTAAAAATAAATCATCTTACAATTTTTCTTATCCGAGAGCCTGTTCCTTCTTCTCTCGCGTGCTATTGGTTTTCTTTTAGATGTGGCCGACCTCACTAGACTTTCTATAATCTCATCATCGGCTGATAGCTCACCACTAAAAATTACAAAAAAAAGTTAAGATTAAAGATTTGTATTATTTTATAGTATATTTAAATCCCTATTACGGTATATACCATACATTATGTTCTTAAATTAATTCACGATCTCACCCCAAAAAGCTTTATCTCATTAGGATGGCATGGCAGAGATTGTGGCAATTATTACAATGTATAGTGCTTCTAACCTAAGTCTCTTCAAAGACTTGTGACGCTATTATGAAACCAGAGACCGTTGCATGATAGGCGCTTTGGTGGATGTCTAGTGTAGACATCACAGAGATGCAAAGTGTAGCTAGGGACGTGTTGCTGACGTCGCTGTCATGACATCCACTAAGACATAGCTTAAAAGCTATAAAAATGATTAAATATTACTCGATACATACTTTGCTGCGATTCTTCTATGATTGATTGGTTTCCGTCTACTTTCAGTAAGACTATCAGTATCTGGATCTGTTTTGAGGAGTTCTTTTAATGCGTTATCTGCTGAATTGTCTTCTATTTTGTTTGTGTAATTTCCAATCTGTAATCATTCCAAATATCGATGTCTAGTTTTGTCATCATAAATTCACATAGTTTTAAAATCACAAGTAAAAATATAATGCTTACTGAAGTGACATCTATGATCATTTTACCCCTTGTTTTGTTCCTTTCTCTGTGATTTGCCCGCTTCTCTAATTGTTGCAATACCCTTTCCCTGGTGGTACGGTATTCCAAAGCAAATTCGGCTATTACCTTCAAGAATTCGGAAGGTTTTGTTTTTATGATGTCGCCTGGGGGAACTCCAAGATATAACAAAAATTTGCTGTACCTTTAACAAACAGAGAAAGAGTTCTACTCATTGTTTCTACTATTAATGTGGAATTAAACCATTCGCATTTGCAGATATTAATAAATTAAAGTTGATTCGCAGATTGCAGACGCTATGCAGTTCATTTAAATGAAGTCTAAACATATTAATATATTACCTGCTCATCACTCTTTTTCTTATAACTGTTAACAATATTATTCTTTCCGCAGCATCTGTAAGAAATTCATTAATTTTGGTTTTGAAGATTTGGGAGCCATCGTGTTTGGCAATTCTTTTCATGTGATCCCAGGACGCCTTGCAATCAGATTCTAGCTTTTGGAGATTTGTACTGAGGATGTCGAAATCTACTTTCGACGCCCGAATCACTGGACCAACCTTGAAACATATAAAATGGCGTTTAATTCTATTTATATTCTATGTACCTTCATACAAACATTATAGTTCAGTTCAATATTTATCGATTCGCAAACACAGTATACTCACCTCACTAAACAAATCTGAAGTATCAGGAAATTTCTCAATAATCATTTCGCAGATGTGATGTAGCAACGGATGTTTATGCACTGTATCCTTGACCTCCATCACTTTTGATAAATATTCTAAACGGAAACCTCTAACTTGGCTTCCATTGAGAAAACTCCCAACAGACCTCAAAGTAGCAAGGATTACTTTGAATGTTTTATTCACTTTCAAAAGTTCAATTCCTTGTTTTAAGTCCATAAGTGGTTCAGCGATTTCTTTCTGATGAATATAAGTAATGTATATAAAGTATACATAAGTAATTATATAATGTACAATAAGGCTCTATGATTTTTATATTTTGCGTTCTACTTACTTCCGAATTATCAAAATCCAATTTAAACACCCATAATTTCAGACGAGATGACAGTTCATTAATGGAAGCTAACGTCAGTAGGAATTGCTCTGCACTACCAAGTGGCAAATCAGGATTGGCATACTAAAACATTAAAACAAAAAATAAAATATATAAAGATGATTTGAATATAAAGTAATTCTTTCAATACCTACTAAATCACAATTACCTGTGCTTCTTGAATTTTTATCTTTTCTTCTTCAGTTGGTAGCATTGTCAGTAATTTTTCAATGCCTTCTCTACCAACGACTGTTGCATCCATTTTCATGATTGCTGCTTTGATAGTTTGAGGTGTTGGCAACTTTTTCATGGCAATGTTTATTGCATTAGACCGTTTAGTATCCAAAATCAGATTGCGTTTCGGTTCCATTAATTTCTATAAATAAATTTTATGTAAGATTTATACGTCTCTTAATCTCATAAGCATAAAGATAATTTGAGTATCGAAATTATACTTACTTCCTAATGGAAGAAAAAATGCAATAGGGCCCCATAACAGCACATTGAATATGAAACATAAAATAAAATTATAATAAGATTAATACAAATGTCTAATTAAACATAATTTCATCAAATATTTCTATTTCTACCTTTATTATAAGATCGTTGGTTCTTGACTCAAACAAATGTTCAAGAGTTTTTGTGTCCAAAGTAACCTCAGGAAGGTCGTCCCAAATAAAACCTCCAACTTTTGTTCTCATTGCTATCGGGGCTGGATTTTCTTGTACTTCGCGCCAGAACAATTTTACAGTTTTCTTATTTTTCTTTATTGTCGTGCTGTCCGAATTGTTAGAGAACTCAGAAGAATGTGACGGTTTCGGTGGCGGTGCAGGTACATTATTCTTTTGGCCGTTGGTAAGAGGACCAGGAAGAGGAGGGGGATTACAGACAGAGGGTAAGAACATTCCAGGTGGAGGTGGTGGCGGTCCATTGGCAGCATTTATAACAGGTGACATCATGTCATCATCCGAGTCATGACGCAAATCCGAAAAATCAAGATCACATAAATGGAATTCTCTATTTAGACAACCTTGCCTCAATTCTTCCCAATGAAGTTCATTTTCAGAAACTTTAATTTCACTAATTTTTTGAGTCTTCTCTATACTAGGACTTTTTAGTACTTCTGTAATACAAAAAGAAATGTTAAACCGGTTTAAATGTCTACGACTACATTATTTTTGAATAATTAATTGGAAGTTGCTTACCCTTAGATTGTGACTTAGCTAGTTCTTCTTTGGCTTTTGATACTATTCCTGTCATTTCTGCTACACGAAGAGGTTTATCTTCACTTGTAGGACTAACAGGACTTGTTAACCTCTGTGCTAGATCTTTTATACTATGCTCCCTATTAAGTAGAATTCCACGATCATCTTTTATTTCAGGAGTAGTGTCGATTTGCTTTTGACGTATTGCTGCTAAAGCATCCACTGCATTTACACTATGTCCTAGAGTACCATTTTGAATCCTCTGTTTTAATCCTGATGTATATCGCTGGTTACCTTTAAATGTAACAATACATGCTTTTACTACGAAGTTTGATTACAGACAATAAATATATTATAAGAGCACACGACACTGCAATAAGCAAATATAAATTAGGCAATGGAATGTCCTAAGATTAGTGGGTTAGAATAATGAACAAACCATTTTTCAAAACATCTGGTAAGTTTATGTTCTTTGCTGTTCTACTATAGTATACATCTTCATCGTCGTGACATTTTACACCATTGATGTTGTAATCACTGTTACTATTACCATTTATCATTAAATAGCTATTGTTACTATTTGTATATGTTCCATTTTTGAGATCAGTATTTGGATTAGTTAGAGTACCGTTTATGGGAGTATAATTTCCATTAGTACTACCAAATAGTCCATTGTAAATTCCATTTGAATTATTTAAAAGCTCTTGTTGTTGTATAATATGATGTGCTTGTCTTGCATATCTGTCTCTTCTTCTTCTTAAAGCTGTATTTAATTCCTTATTATTGTCTTTATTGTTGTCCAATATTGCTGGTAGAAATTGAGGTCTAATATTATTTGCTATTTTGTTCCTTGGTTCAGTATGAGCGATGATTGGTGATTTCACTGTAGGTCGTTAGTAAAATGTCACAAAAGTTAATTGTTTTTAGTGAAACACGAAATTATGATATGAAGTTAATAAAATGTAATGTATGAATAAAACGAAAATCATTTATGTAAAACAAAACACAAGTCGTGCAATGTTTTCATGCAAAATTTAACAACAAATAATTCTTCATTCATAAGTGCAAGAACACTGAGATGCACTTAAAATTTGAATAAAGCATAATTCTTACTCACCTTTCTCCTTAGATTGCTGCTTTTTAGATTTTCGCCTCTCAGAAGTATTCAAGTTTATACTTCGTCGCCTGACAGAACTTACTACAGATTCGTCTAATTGCCTGAAAATATAACATATCCACGTTGATAATATTTTTGAACAAAGTCCTAATATTATGTTTATCCCCAATTTAAGTTACTTACTTCAACGCTGTACCTGTCTCATCACCATCTTCATATAGGAGAACTGCTTCAAATATCTGAAGTTGTCTCAAGAGATCTAGATCAGTGCCTTGTTTCGTCATATACAACTGGATAATTTCATCCATACCCTGATCCTGCAGAGCGTCAACTTGGTCGTAGTAAGTGTCCCTATCGGGTATGTTGTTCAAACATATATTTATAAGAGTTGTAGCATAAATGAGTAATTCAGTATCGGATGCATCAATATCTTGTAGAATCTTCATAATGTTATACCAAGGTTGTCTGCCGTTGGCATTATCTACAGTGTTGATAGCGTCAATGAGAAGAAGGGAGTTCTTTTCCGTATATTCAACAAATACGACCAGAAGCTTGAGTGCGGTTTTGACGACGTGACGAAATTTGCTTGAGATCAAAGAGTAGAGCCATTGGACGCATCTTTTGTGATTCATCACTCCATGCATTCCATCGATGTAAAGAAGAATCTATTAAGAAACATAAAACGTGTATATATATTTTAGTGTATATCTATTTTATTATAAAGAAACATAAAACGTGTATACCTACGGAGTTAGACATTTACCAGCCAGTTTTCCTAGTTAAGTTTTAATATGTTTCATCACTACTAATATTATAATTTTTACCAATATAAATAATATTATGAAGTCAAAGTAACGATGGTCTTATAATGATAACATAATAATAAGCTTTTTTTAATTAGTTTTTTTTTAATAGAAGATTAAACGGCATGATATCTTATTGTTGTATTTAGTTTGAGACCTTATTGTAGTAGCGCACACATAGACCCCTGAATTTATTAACCTTTTGCAGTCTAGTGACAGGCACCGTAAATTTATTTTTATTTCTTGTATTAAATATTATTATATAATTATATAATAATTGTGTACATCAATTTTTATAGGAAACAAACTAATATTTATACGAACGTACATTAAGTTCTCGTATATGTATTGAGAAGCAACAATCATTATGTCTATTTCCTTAAATTTCTCCCTTAAAGAGTCCCTATTCTAAGATTATAAATCGATTTAATTGTTCTTCTCCGAAGCACAAAAATTGTTTGTATGTCGGCAGCATTTCCCTACAATAGGATTCCGTACGATATTACGCTATGAATATATTTTGCCGTACAGTTAACAGCACATTAGGCTATACAAAATTGACAAATTTCTCCATTTCATTTTAAACCTTAAAGTATTGATAGTAGAGCAGTGAGTTTTAAAATAAAATGTAGTAAGAAATTTAAGCTTTGCTATACTACATAACGTTTATGCTAAAGTAATCAGCACTGACGTTTCTATCAAAGAATTTTGCGTAGACTACGTTTTCGATTAAGTTTTGTGTAAACTTCAGAACTGTTTCATCTGTATTTCAAATTGGATTGGATTAATATCTATAAAGTTTTCAAAGAGAAAGTGCTGAAACATATTGGATATTTGTTTTTTTTTTTTGTTTAGTATTTTCGAACTTAATCATCAAGGTAATTTCATAATCAGCTCGAGAAACAACAGCTTTTTGGAAAATATATGCTGCCCAAAGTAACTAAGCCACGCAGACGAAGTCGCGGGCAAAAGCTAGTAGGATATAAATAGATTTACAAATCTTGTACATGAGTTGGAGTTTCCTAATAAATCAATGTTAAAATCACCACTAATCACTAGTCGTTTGCCTTTGCTATATACCTTTTTTATAGCCTCATCAATAACTATTTAAAAAAAAAACATAATGAGAAACTAAACTTGAAGGAGGTCTATATACACAGAGCTGGACCAGCTCTATGCAGGCAAAAAGAAGAAAGGTTTGCATTGAATTGAATTTGATTGTTTGTTTGCATTGAATAGGTCACACACTAGCAACGTCGCGGGGAAAGAGCTAGTTACTTATACTTAGTATTAAATATAAACAAAATAATACTTTTGAATTTCGAATACGTCATTTCTATATGATTGTTCATTGTTTTTTTTTCTTATTTTATCTATACTAATATTATAAAGAGGAATAGAAGGTAGCTCGGTGGCGTAGTGGATAGGTGCCGCGGCCCGCGATCGTAGTCGTTAAGCAACTTTCGCAAGGGTCGGTCACGGGATGGGTGACCAAAAAATTATTATCTCGAGCTACTCCGTGCTTCGGAAGGCACGTTAAGCCGTTGGTCCCGGCTGCATTTGCAGTCGTTAATACCCTCCAATCCGCATTGGGCCAGCGTGGAGGGTCATGGCCCATCCTCCTTAACCATCCATAAGGAAGGCCTGAGCCTCTGCAGTGGGGACGTAAAAGGGCTGGTGATGTGAAAGAGGAATGATTTGATTGTTTGCAACGATTAGGCTCCAAAACTGCTGGACGCTACATTACGTAGGCGGTATGATAAATAGCTAGCCCAACCCATATTTTGTATAATAACGATATAAAATCTCCTTAGTATTTTACTCATTTGGTTCATTAGCTGCCAGTGTTCCAAATTTCAAATCGATCGTATAGTTTTTCTTCTAAATATTGACATTTCAAAAAGCATTATTTTGTTTTTTCTGCAAAATGGATAAAATTGAGCTACGAGCTGTGATTAAGTTTTTGCATTTAAAAGGATTAAAAGGTGGAGAGATTTTTTCGGAGATGAAGGATGTTTTGGGAGAAAATGCTCCTTCATATGCGACCATAAAAAATTGGGTGACTGAATTTAAACGTGGCCGTACCAGCACCCAAGATGAACATCGTCCAGGACGTCCAAAAAGTGCCACTACTCCAGAAATTGTGATCAAAATTCAAGATGCAGTTTTAGCTGACCGAAGATTGAAACTTTCCGAGATAGCTGATACTGTAGGCATCTCTAAAAAACGAACGCATTACATTTTGACTCAAGAATTATGTATGAAAAAATTATCCGCAAGGTGGGTGCCGCGATTGCTTACAGTTGACCAAAAACGCGTTCACAAGAATGTTTGGACCGCTTTAAGAGCAATACAACTGAAAAACAAAAATATCAAATTACCTAGAATGACTGTGAACCAGAGGTCGATAGCAACATCGAACATTTAATAGCTTACTGGCGACAAATGTCTAAATCTTTCATTGCACATAATATAGTTATAGTTTACCAACCTGTCCAAGTGCTCTAAGTATATAGTCTATATAATTCTGGTCCTCCATGTTGCCAACTTGCATCAAGCAGTCTAGTCCTTTGTTAGCGACAAAGTCGTGGACTAAGTCTTTATCGGACTGAAGAATCTGCTTGAGGGAAAACAGCGCTCGGCGCAGCTCGCGTCCCTGGCTGTGCAAGAGTTTCTCTGAAATATATGCAATGATATCAATTTTATTATTATCTCAGTTAAATATAAATGTGGACACAATTTTTAGTGTATATTTGTTCATGGCTCCGTGTAAACAACTTTAAATTAACCTATTATGAAAAAAATTCACTCTACTCAGAAACCCCAGATTGGTACACATTAGTATACACATTACAATGTCAGAATCTACATTTGATTCAATATCAATTCTGCAATGCTATTCTATCGAACACACCGCTATTATAGCTTTATAGATCAACCAAATGCTATTATTTGGTACATCCAAAAATAATAAAGGTTTTATTTGTATAACGTGACAGCCGCGCTTGTTGATGAATTCGAGGCGGTTTTCTAACAGAATAGCCCTGATCGCTCTTTGTAAAATGGTACGAGTTTTAATATCGTCTTGAGTAACTTTGAATATTAAATTATTCTACACACAGTCATAGTTGTTTCATTCTTATTATTATACTTGATTATATTTACCTCATTCTTATGTTTAACTAAAGAACCATAACCATTACATACCGATAATCGCGTGAACCCTGACTGGCAGTTGCGTTCGCAGAACAAGCGTATTCTTCCGACTGAAAAAGTGAAACAAAAAACTTTAACAGCAATTTAGGGAGAATGTTACTAGAAAGTCAATATTCTTATTGGTCAGATGTTCCACCAAAAACATTTTCATGTAAGGTATTACCAAGACGAGACCGTATAATTTACACTGTAATAAAGTTATCAAATCTCGTGTAGGGTAGCTCGGTGGCGTAGTGGATAAGCGCCGCGGCACACGGAATGGGTGATCAAATAAATATTATCTTGAACTACTTCGTGCTTCGGATGGCACGCTAAGACGTTGGTCCCGGCTGCATTTGCAGTCCGCATTGGGCCAGCGTGGAGGGTTATGGCCCGTCCTCTTTAACCATCCATAAGGAAGCCCAGGGGGGCAATTCTACTAAATGAATTTTGTTTAAATCGAATCGAAAACGGATCAAAACCGAAAGAAACTACAGATTTTAATGGTTTTCCTATTCTACAAAGTGACATACGATACAATTCCAGTTCTATTTTATCCGGAATAATAATGCATAAAATTTGTAGTCCAAGCGTCATTTTAATCTGTGCGAGGATTTGATGGCCAAGTTTTTGCCGCCCATCTACAAATTAAATTTATTGTAGTCCGCGTTTGAAGTTTTTAAGAAATACTTTTAGATATTTTACACACACTTTTACTTTAAGTATTAGTTGTTTGTTGGTATTTTTTGAACTATCACGACTTCACCCTCTCTCCTTGTAAATAAAAGTCGACCCTTTTTGCTTTAAGAATAGTGAATAAAAGGTTCAATTTGTGTACTTAATTTAAATATAATGCTTCTTTTTAGTTTTCCCAAATTTGATTGAATTCACGGCTAAGATAGACATTTTCCGTTTCTTCGACGAGGTCATCAAAACTAACAAAAATCCACATTCACTTAATTATTTCCCCATTTGATGCATCCAAGGATTTTCCACTATGAATTTCATTAACATTGTTGTGAAAAATATAATTTATATTTGAAATTTAAACAAAGAAAAATAATAGTTGTCCTGTATTATGTTATGAAGATTTTCAAGTTTGTGAATAAGAAAAAATGTTGCATCAATCAATCTTGCACGCATAACAAGTCGAGCAAAGAGATTGTAGGTAGTTTAATTTCTTTCAGTGTAACTTAAGTTTAAACCATTATCCGACCAAATTAAGGTAACACGTCTCAATTCGACCTTTTTTTTTCTGTTATTGTCAATTTACTTTAGGCGGCCAGTGAGCATGCCAAGTGCTAACTTTAGTCTTAGTTTTATATTAAAACGGTTTGAGTACAACATACCAGTTTTCTGTTTAGTCTCTTTATGTTATAATGGAAATGTTTATATCATTTTTTTGATATTATTGTGCTAGCTATAAATAATATGTCTAAAGATTATTGAAATTATGAATGTATCTGTAATTTAAATAATCTTTAGACATATTATTTATTTGAGCTTTATTGCACATTTTAAAATTTGTTAACCGATTCAAAAATCGGGAATCTTTCACCTACAGGAAGCTAAATCTCGTTTGACATAGGCTATTATTTACGTGGGCGAAGTAGCGGGAAAACAAGTAGTAGTTTTATGCTATATATATTTGAAATGTATGTATATTCTTCCGATAATACGTACTCAAATAATAAGTGAATATAAATGTATTTCTATTAATTATTTAATAATAGTAACACCTAAAAACACTGTACCTAACTGTTCATGACAAAAAATTGTGATTGATCTATAATCATATTTTTCATCTCTATGACAACTAAATTGACAAATTTTATTTGTTTTATAAATTGTCTGTATATTTTATTTTTTCTAATTAATTACAAGAACCGAAACGCGCGTGGCCATTATTTATCATAGTGGGACGTCACATTTTAATAAACTAAGAGTCAATCGGTAAGTTGCACAAACGTCCATTTAAGTTTAATGACGCCTTTAAGCTCTAATGAATGTCAAATTTGTATGGGTAATGTCACTTTAAACTAATGCCTATTTTAATGGACATTTGTGCAAATAGCTGAATATCTTATTGTAAATACTTGTTTGTTTAAATTTTAAATTAAAATAAATTTCTAAATAACTTTAATTTGCGTTTGTATTAATAACACAGAGCAACAATTATAAATAGAAATAATACTTCTGAATCGCACGTGAATGTTTAATTTCTTTTATAAAATACCACGTATTTTTAAGGAAAATAAATCTAGTGTTTATTTAAGTGTATGAAAGTTATTAATTAGTTTAAAATAAACTCCAAAGATTAAAATAAGTTTATAACAAATCATACAAAAACTTTCTACAGAAGAAAACTCACTCGTCCAAGTCGAAGTAGTCGAACTCCTCGTCTTCTGACATATCATTTTCTGATTCGAACACTATACTAGTCTTGACTGCGCTCCCATCTTCTCCTATGCCGGAGTCTAGAGACAGACGGTTTGTGTTCCGCGCGTACGCGCCGCGACGATCACGATCGGTTAAAGACGATCGTGTGAAGTCGAACTGCTCTAACGATTGTCGTTTCATTTTCCCGACTAACGATACTCTTTATACAGCCTGTTGATAATTTAACATTTCACTCGAAGCACTTAATTTTCTTAACAAATTAAATCCAGAATTATAAGAATTTTATTGATCTTCAATAAAATCAACCATCAAAACTTTTTCTTTAACTAAAATACGTACTATATTGGCACTAAACTGATGCTTATGCACTTATGCTTACAGGTACCAAATTTGTTTTAAATCTTTACCAATAAAATTCTATTAAAATGTTAAACTTTAAATGAAAATAATTCACTCACCACTAAATTCTTTAAAAAAGTTTTTAAGCATTTACAAGGAAAAACACCAAAGATTTTTTCTTTAAAAAAATAACGGTGTCTATCACTAAACCATAAAACACGTTCTCATTCATCAGTAAATAAAAAAACGAACAATAACACACTCGATATAACCCGAAATAGTGAGTGAGCAAGTAACGCTTCCTCACCCGACCGAAGTCAAACTCGAACTGCGAGCCGCCACTGTGTACCACTGATTAGTAATTACGATAAAATAATTACTATTTCACGGTACATAAAGTTCAATTCACAATAGATATACGGATGGGAAAACTATATTTTGGAACATATATATGAAGTAAATTATAATCCTACAAATTTAACAGCAAACCGACTTGTCCCCTCATTCTTAAATCCCATATGGATATAAAACAATGTTTGTTATGTTATGTTCGAAATTTTCCAATTTTCCCCCGGTGAAAAGTTGATTCGGATTGTCATGAGTAGGTATTCTCAAGTTATAAGTTTACGACAGAAAGTTTATTTGGGTATGTAGTATCTACCTAATTAATATTGTATTATTTATGTGCCAATAAAAATACCTCTCTTGATAAGTAAGATCATAAATATTACCTTACAATTGAATTTAATCGGATTAAAATGGCAATTAAATTATGAGCACCTAAAGCTTTTATTTTTTATTTTATGTAATAGTGTTTTTAAATACAACGGTACCCGATATTGTATACCTATAAAATGTAATAAAAAATATAAGTTCAAAAACTAAAACCCGACTACAGCTAAATCGCGTTTCAAAAATTTTTGTACAAGAAATTTACTTTATAGCGATAGTATTCAAATAGCGTTGACGATAATATTTTTTACATGCCTATTTATTTTGTGTGATCAGTGGCCCTTTATTAAACCCTATATTTTGATACCTTGAATGACATTATAGAATAATATATATTTAATTTTTATTTTTTTAGTTTCTTACTTGATGCCCAGCAGTGGGCGTCTCTCGGTTGATATAATGATGATGATGGTTACTTGAAGCTCTTTAGAGGGCTCTGTTGCCAATAAAATTACAGCCTATAGCACACAATGATACCTCATTTTTCCAAGTACGATTCGAAACTACACGAAGTTTTAAGAGAACAGATGAACACACACATACTGGCCAAAAACCCTCCTTTTCGCGTCGCCCGCAGCCGAGTAAAAATAGACATGTAAAAAATACTCTTATTTCAGTTACGTTATATTTTGTTCATAATAATGATATTAAAACATTATTTCTCCTTGAAATATTCAGGATCTATTAATGGGGTTTTTGTGAAACCGAACGACTGCATCGAGATATGGGACTTACTTTTGTTGATAAGTTATGTCAGTATTTCGTGTTTACGCTTTAAAGCTGATATTTTATTAAAATAAATGTAAATGCAATATAAATAATTATCTAGCTGATATAAAGTTTTTTAATTATATAACAGGTTTTTTTTATATGAGAAAATAAGTAATTTATTAGTTACACATACATTGTGACATGTATGGAAAAACCGTAACGTAGTTTTCGAAAACTATCAAAACTAGTACTAGAGGTAATAGCAAAGTATTTGTATTACGTAAATCTGGCACTATGAAGGTTTGCATTTTATTGTGCATATTGTATATGACACTTCATATTAATGGATTAACGAATGAGTTATTTTTCTTATTTTTTCATAGTCTATTGAAGGCGTTTTCCATTTGGATTTGTGTGTAGGAAAACAAACAGGTGATTACTCAGTGCAACTTTCATAAGCACTTGTAGCATCTTAACTTAAAATTTGTCACGACTAGGAATTGAACTTCGGAAATGGTGACCATATTGAACCCGACGCGGTACATATCATTGGGGTCAACTTGCAAATTCTCATAAAAAAAGTTTTTTATTTTATTATTAATGTTAGGAACAGCCTGTATGCAATGACATTAAGTTCATTGTTGTAGTATCATCATTTTTTTGCACTAGATTCGACTCGTCTCAATTGAAACGTTTTAAAAAACCGTCTGCCAAGAGAAACACTCACGGTTTCGCTCGCAGTAAAGTTTTCCAGACTTTCCATATTAATATGTACACAAACAACTCTTTTGTATTGCATTTAATTAAATATACATGTATACTTATTATAATTTTGTCTTCTTTTCTCTGTAGGTACAATGTAAATAATATAAGGTTTATTAAAATAAGTCTCTTCAATAAGAATTTGTAACTTCAAGTTTATATCTCTAATTACACAACCAAATGAAGATATTTTCCTATCTTTACTTATCTCAGAAACTACTGGTTCGAAATGAGAATTATTTTTGTTTTGAATAGTTTATTTATTCAGGAAGGCTGATTATATATTATAGGAGTGGAGAATGTGAGATTGTAGATAAAAAATAAAACCATTCAGGCCACTGGCGGAAAACTAGTCCGAAATAAATAAATTCAATTTATTTATTTTATTATCTTTAACTTGAAAATGATGAACTTATATAATAACAAACGGCTTTTATGCTGTTTACGTAGGAAGATGAAATAATTAACGAGGTAGATTTGATTTTTATGTAAACTCTCTGAATTAAAAATGATCATCCTTGAAGGGGTCAACAAAAAAAACTAAGAGCTTTCTTGCAACCGTACGAATAATGAACAAGTCGCTAAAACTAATCTGCGCTAAGTTCATAAAGTTTGTGTTTCATTTACGAATTCTTCTGTGAAGCTTTGCTAAACTCCGCTAAAATCTATACGTATGTTATCTGTATTTTCTAAGAAAAATGTGTAAACATTCATTAGAAAAATCAAATGTGAAACCTCATTGGCTCCATCTCGTTTACCCGGTTATCGGGTAACCGGAATAAATGTACATGTGTCGAATTTGGTACGGACCTATTTCGGGATATAGTGCGCCGACCTTCCAGCTGCGGCGATGTGTACACACGTTTAATAAAAATTACAAAAGATTGTGTGTTAATTAATAAACATACCGTATTGGCTTAGGAAGCGTATAAAACCAATGTCAGAATGCAACGAGGGCATATGGTGAATAACGCAAATTATACGCAAGTTCCTTTGTCGTTGTAAATTACATCGTGTTAAAATAATATATTGAAATAACGTATACTTAAGTACTTTTAACATGTTATTTTGACACAGATCCTCTTTTCGCCAGTTTCTTTTTTTTATTATTTTCATTATATTTTTTTTAAAAGTTAAATTAAATTTGTCCAATTTTTTAAATGTAAATTAATAACATGTATAGAATTTAATAAATACACTAAAACCGTCTTCAAAAAATCTAATTATGACTCAAACACTACAGAGGCGGTCAACATATTTAGTAAACTTTATCGGGTGATATCTCGAACTTGACGTCGTAGATTTACTTGATTTGAACCTTTCTATGACATTCAACGTTGATTTTATTACAAAATAGAACGACCTATTTCCATACCACTAGTGTTAAGAGTTACTTCATTTGAGATCTCAGCAATGTATGAGATATTTCATTTATTTATTTACTGAAATATCTATCGAAGGTAACGTGGATGCATAAACTATTACCATATGGAAAGCGTTCGTTCGACGAGTGCACAATTGACCCTGCATGAGCTGAGTGAGGGGTATTTACTGACTTCCGAGAATTACTGCGGCAATGATAAGTGACGACTCCCTCCAGAGGATGTCCCGATCAAAACCACTACGCTTAATTCACTTTCATGAATGACGAGTTTATAATATTCATAATATACCAGGTACAGGCAACTTTGTCTGCGTATTAATATCCTATGACATATCTTCGATGTGGATAGTAGTTGTTTCTATGTAAATTTGAAAAATTTGTATGACCAACCTCATTTGTCGTAAAAAAATAGTCATGTTTTCATAAAACCCTAAACCACATTCAAAAATATGAATTCAAGATACATCAATTGAAGTCAGGTGGTTAAAAAACGCAGCCAGAAAATCCTCGTACGAAAAGAACGGTAGGGGGTCCAGTCAAGTAAACATTATATCAAAATTTTCTCACCTACATAAATAAAATTGTTAAAAAAGATTCGGATAACATTTAGAGATATATCAGAAAAATGTCGTTTGTAAGGACGAAACCAATATCCGTGATCTCAATCAATCAATCAACAAAAAACTTACTTGTCTTGAAGACCTTCCAATTCTTCGTCCTGCTCGCCGAGGGTTGAGTCCAAGTCCAGATACGGTCCATAATCACCGTCTTTGAACACTTGAAGAGTGGCATCATCCAACTGTAAAGAAAAAGAAAGTCATCATTACATTAAACCGATAATAGAAATGCAGTCTGAAATTGTAATTTCTAAAAACTTTTTTGATATCAGTGTTGCCTACTCTATGACATTAAATACTAAACCAAACCAATAATCCGGTTTCAGTTTTACGGGAATTTTCGTGTTTTTTTAACAAAAACTTTATACTAACACTACTAAGATAGACTTCCTGTCCACCTTTCTTACACCAGACTGTATCTCTTGATACCGTGGTAGCGAGACAGCTGAAATTTTATCAGATTATGTATTACCAAGAATACAGTAAAGTAAATACTTGTATAAGTGGGGCTTCCATACAATTATCGAATTATTTTTGCCGTGTTTTGTATAAATAATGGAATGGAAACCATCATGTGCGATTCCGACTCGCACTTAATCGGTTCTTTCAAACATAATAAAGCCTATTTGTTTATGCTGTAAAGTCCGGTAAAACGCCATCTACATACTATCCAGTGTAATATTATTATCGAATGGTACTCAAAACCGAGAGTGAAGCATCGTCGTTTTGATGTTTCAACGTAACAGCGATAGATGTCGCTTAAAGTTATAAAATTATTACGAATAATAATATATCGTTATATCGTTAATCGTATCTACGAAATAGATTTCAAACATGGCGTCGTCTTTGAGAGTAGGTTTCTTAGAAATTGGTCAGAGAATTTTAAAAGGTTTTGAAAATGTTATGTGACGAATTAAATGAAAGAGCTGTGAAGATCATAAGGACCCTTATTTATTTGTGGAGTAAAAAGTTTTTAGATATTAGGAAAATACTAATAAAAGGAGAAATTTAATATTCCCAATCTATCTCCTAAAGTAGTGGACTTTAAATCTTGAAAAAAAAACGTGGAAGAATAAACACGTAATTATATACATGATTATCAGAAAACAGTTTACCGGGAATTTTTAAAGCTAGAGAGGTTGAAGGCGGTCTTATCTCTCTCTTCCAATTTTAGTTATAGGACATTATGTCGTTGTAGAGAACTTGGGTCATAGATACAATTTTGTTAAACAATAAATATCTATAGATAACAGTTAAAACATATTGGGAGTCTAAGTTGGTTTGGTTTTTATAATTTAATATTATGTGGTATTATTGCTGCCCGACTCCAACTCGTTCTTGACCGTTTTTTTCATTAAGACAACAATATATAGCATTTTAAGATTCCAAATAAATTGCTAAAATGTTACAGAATTGTAAAACAATAACTTGAGGTACTACAATCACCCAGACACGACTAAAGATAAAAGTTTATTTTAAAATTGTGATCCAACTATGGATCCAACCGTCAATCGAACCTGGAGGCTCTAGAAATAGCTTGAACCTGGCGTAATAATCACTCAGTCACAAATGATCCAGTATTCATAGACTCTATTTCTCGATTAGCTCTTATATGCGATAGGTTTTTAACATCAATCAAAAACATAAAATGCGTGAGTGTAGCTACAGTAATAATAGAAAGTATGTTTCTCTGAAGCAAAGCCATAAGGAATAGAATATGATTTTTTTTTAATTTATTTACTCACTAATGGGCTCACTCTTGACCTCAATCAAGCCCAAGAAATGGAATTGGACTCAGTAAGTAGGTCTAAAGTTTCTTCTAGAGTGTAGAGAAGCAGAGGTGCCTAATAGAGCCTCGTAAACCGCGCTTTCGTCAATGGACCGTATCCAGGGCGAATGACTGGTGTCTACCAAACTGCATCCAGCGGGGCACAATTGGCTGCCCGCCAGGATGGTGAGCCGTGAAAACTGGAACGGTTTCTGAAATAGTCACCGTCCCTTGGCGAATCTGATTCTTTCAACACTACAGGACAGATTTAGATGCACCAATACACTGTAGATAACATGAAATCGTGGTAGGTGAAAATGTCAAAGATATCAACATTTTAAGGCAAGAGACTATGGTTCGATAATAATCAGTAAACTAATTTTAATAAGTATTATTTACATATATGATATATACGATAGTAGATTATGTTGATGTGTGCATTTGCAATATATCTATTTATGATAAACCGTTTCGTTAGCTGCTCCTTCCCATGAAATATAGATATTCATCACTTACTGCAAAGGCTCGTGAGACTTGCTTTAAAAGGATAACTATAACTCTATAATAATATTTATTCCACATCCTAAATTAATTATTAAATATAAACAAATCTTAATTTACACCATTGCAAAATAGTTTCTAAAAGTTTTGATTGATAATATATCATTCACATTTTTATGGTTTAAAAAATGTTCGCTCTGTCTTATACGAACAAACTATACTCGGAGGAATATCTTTTCAAAAATTACGATATCTTCTAATTTGTGCTGTCATATACTTGTTAATATGAAATTTAAACGTTATGTTAACAAAGAGACCTTGGGCATATTACTGTGCCTAAAAAACTTAGATAAATATTAATCTAAGCCTTGACTTTTAACTGTGTATTCTATTCTAAGACTAGACATGGTTCTTTTTTGAGCATACTTTTTAAACAAATTCTGATAATTATTTATCAATACACCCAGCGCTCTTTGGAGCTATCTGAACGTACTCGTAAGTACTTAGTAATTCGAATGAGAAAACGCCACTGGCATAGTTCGTTAATCAATAAATATTCAAACTCATTGATGGCTATCTTCAATGAGCGAGCATACATGTTGCATAAAAACGCGCCACAACAAGACCTTGATCTCGGTTCATTGGACCATCTCTATTAAGCGAGTCTAACGTTTTTTTAATCCAATCTCCATGCAATATGATGTCTTAATGTCGTGTACGAAGGTTATAAAATTAAATGATTCATATGACCACATCACATTCGTCATTTTTGTCGCTGTCATGCTAATCTGGTTGATTTATTTGTTATCAAGGTCCCTAAAAAGAATTAAACATACTTTTTTTAAATATTACTCTTTATAAATGCGTGTTGGTCCAACTCGTAATGTGTGTGTCTAAGTAGGTGTTACAACTAGTAATAAGGCATCATAAGAAAAACAAGCGCCGCCTAAGAAGCTCCAATGTTTATACAAGTTTTTATTTAACTTGCTATGCATGTATGTTCCAAAAATATTGGAATAAAATATTAAGCAGTTGTCCTCGACCGATTAAGCTTAAGCTGATCTTAACTAAACCTTTATGAAAAATACAGATTCAGTTTAGATGACAACGCATAACCCGAGCGCGAGAACAATATTTAAAGGTAACAACCTTTCCTGACTTTCTAATCTTATTAAGTATTATAAATAATAGTGTTTTGTTATAGTCAAAGATTATATTTCTGTATGATTGTTGACATCAGTGACAACACGTGTATATCATGTTAGTGTGTGATACTTTTAATTTGTATAATACTTGTATTTATGATATGATGTAATTGTATTATGACTTGCGTAACTTGCGAATTGTAATAAAGGGTAAATAAAGGATTTACCCTTTATATTTTACTGTATATGTATATATGTACTGCCTTACAATTTTTCTTTTGAATGGTAGAGAATACCTCTGGCATTGAGTCCGCCATTTACTGTAATTAATTAGGCAATAAAGATTAAATAAATAAATAAGTATGCGTTAACTAACCAATAAAATAAACTTTGAAGTAAATTTCACCCGTTACCTATTTTGGTCATTAAAGTTTATGAAGATGGATGTATGTTTGTTACTCTTTTACGAAAAAACTGCTGAACGGAATTTAATGAAATGTACATATAAATCTCAGTCTGAATTAACATATGTGCAACTTTTAATCACTAAGAATAAATTAACTGTTAAGAGATCGTGTAAACCTCACGAAGACGCTGGCGGAAAACTAGCTATACATAGGTATACAAAAGTACTACGCTATAATTTTTCGCTTTCTTAAGCTATAAGTGAAAACGTATCTAAAGCTTTTTATCTATGCATTGTAGTGCTTTGTTCTGGTTTTATGGACAGTGCAAATACCAAGTAACATATTAAATTATTTCAGACCTTCTCCGTTTATCATCGTTCACGAGGGCAACTTATCTCCTACACTAAGGTCCAATCAATCTTTATGATAATACATATTTATGAAAATCGATGGGTGGATCTAGAATGAAAACGTTAAAAAACAAACTGCTGTAATCACATTTACTTTTAAAATTATTTAATTTAGTTGAAAGTTAAAGTAAATTTAAAGAAAAAACATTTCAAAAGCATTGAACAAATTTTTTAATGATATTTATTAAAAAAAAACAATTTAGCATTTGATTACAGCATAAAATAAAGTCTATTCCTGTTGACGAAAAAAATTGGTTAAATAGAAAGGTTTTGGGCGAAGTCGCTTGCGGAAAGATACTATAGGCTAAAGTTAATGTCCAGAGTCACAGTGATAAATAACGAATCCGTTCAAATTTTTATCTAGATAATAACATGTATCGTTACTTGTTTTCACAGAATCACATGTAGCATAAACGTGATTCTGGGAAAGGTCTCAGCATCATATTCTGGTACAATGGATAATTTCTTATGTCCGCATAAAAATATTATAGATATTATTATTATTAACAGTAGAATTGACATAATATTATGTCTAATTAAACTGAAGTATACATATATTATAAAGTGGAAAGACTTGATTGTTCGTATGTTTGCATCGTATAGGTTTTGGAACAACTGGACCGATCTAAATAATTCTGTCACCAACGGAAAAGCTACTTCACCAGCCCTTTTACGTCCCCACTGCAGGGGCTCAGGCCTTCCTTATGGATGGTTAAGGAGGATGGGCCATGACCCTCCACGCTGGCCCAATGCGGATTGGAGGGTATTAACGACTGCAAATGCAGCCGGGACCAATAGCTTTACGTGCCTTCCGAAGCACGGAGTAGCTCGAGATAATAATTTTTTGGTCACCCATCCCGTGACCGACCCTTGCGAAAGTTGCTTAACGACAACGATCGCGGGCCGCGGCTCTTATCCACTACGCCACCGAGCTACTTACGAATGTAATAC